CTGGTTTAGCTACTGATTCTGGCATTGTCACTTTTTCAGGAGGTTGGTTTTGAACAGGCAAAGGCAATTCGGGTTCGCTAGCTACTACCTCACGAACATTTTCTCCATTAGTATGATTAGAAACCGAGTTCTCCGGCGTTTTAGATCGCCACATAGCAGCAGAAACAGATTCAAAGAATCCATTCTTTGAAATACTTGGTCCTACACAAGTATTCCCCATTGATTCCTACGACTCAAGATCCTTCCAAGCAAGTTCCTCAATTCAAACACAAAGAAACATTCATTTTCTATATGATCGATGAACACCAAACTTAAGATCCGATCTCCAAAAGCTCAATACACTGAAATCTCAAACCAAACACTTAGCTCTACCTCTAAGCTCAGAAACTAGCAACAGAATTACAATCAAATAAGTATAACTCAAGAATCAGAATCATCCCCAAAATTGGCAGAGAAATCGAATAGAAAAGTATATATTAGCAGGTAAAGTAAAAAGTCAATGCATCAATCCTTGAACCTAATCAAATCTGAAGATGAACTACAAAATCCACATCGCCAAATTCTTCAAAACAACCAGAATCAAACCTAGAAATCAGAAGAGGCGATCGACAAATTGAAGCTATAAAAGCAACTAATCGACCGATCAGAGCAAAAAACCAAAGCGGCGGTGGATCTTAAGCAAAGAACAGGCGATAAACGAAATCGATGAGCGATAAATACATAGCTGAGTAGTCGAACTCCGGATGAGTTGAGCGGAAGAAGAAGAATCGTTGAGGGTTATGGGTAGGCTTTGTCTGCTAAGTACAAAGAGTTATCATGGAAATTTAGAACATGGTTGGGATTTTTATTGCGCCAAAACGCGTCGAGCTGTGATGGATAATTGAATTCAATCTCCGCTCTCTTCGGTTGGCCTGCTCTCGTGAAGAAGTCAAATTGACGCGAATTGACGCAGTCTTTTTTTTCTCTCTATAAGGTTAAAAAGGTAATTTTATTCCCTAAATTTTTCATTCTTTACTTGTGACCAAAAAAAACTTTTAATTACTTTTTTTATTTTACCCCTTTTGAATTTTATCAATGTCAACCTTTTTGGGTTTTGACTTTTTAAAAACGCTCGATCATGTGAGTTACTCGGTAGTGCCTTTTAGGCTAACTTTTTAGCTATATCTACACGTCTACCTTTTCTATAACTAAGCGATCGTTTTTTATATTTATTTATTTTTTAATTCAATAATGGGTAGAAAATGTAATTTAGAATCTCTCATTTCCAATAAAATAATAAAATTGTATTGTTTTAATGAATTAAATTAGGATGAAATTAAAAAAAAAAAATTGGTTACCGTTGACTTTTTTCAATTTTTTGATCATTTGTTTTGAGATATTTTTAATTATTTTTTTGGGTATGATTTTTACCTGTGGTAAAATAATGGCTTTTTCTATACAAATAAATTATTATTATTATTATTATTATTATTATTTAGTCTATATTTTTATTTTTTTTTGGGTGAAAGTTGTCCAAGGCAGCATGATAGATATACCGGTCTTGCTTGTCTATGATGTGTTGTTCATGGTTATATGTTAATTCCAAACTCATTTTACGTGCTTTCATCTTAGATAGGTCTCTACCATTTCATATTGGGTCAGTATGAGAGTGTACGACCGTTCACCAAAATCGTGTATACACCTTCAAGGGCTAAAATGCCCCAAAATGTACTATACGAGGATATGACTAATTGTCAATTTCTTCCTACCCGATAGTTATATGCAGTAAGTCGATATTATTGTTTTTTGCTTACATTCTCATATAACACAATTTCTAATTTCTCAAATCTTACTTTCAAAAGTCTCTGCCTCGTTTTCTAAAACTTTCTTCTTAAACCGGGGCTAGAGGCTCGAGCATACCTCGTTTGACCGAAATATATAGAGAGAGAGGTTTCTTGACTTTCAGCTTAAGATTTTTGTCATTAATATTATTTTAATTTCCACATAATTAAATTAATATTAATATAATTATTTAAATAAATGAGCAATGATGGAAGTTCCCATTTTCATTAAATAAAAATTACTTAATTAATAAAGTTTGATTTTGCATATCCATGTTTGCCTTTTGTACATGGGATTATATATATATATATTTTAAAATTATTATTGGATGTAATGGAAAAAAATATTTTAAAAAGTTAAATAAATAATAAAATAAAACTTTAGTTGTTTTAAAATAATGTTATTATATAACGTTCAAATAAATGAGAAAAACATGAATGAACAAATATATATCATTAAAGTGTGTGCGGTCGAACAAGCTTAGATTCTGTATGAACAATGTTCGGTAGGGTAAGACAAACACAACTTAAGGTCCGACGAACCCACAGAGCCGGACAAAAAATGAATATGAGACTTGAGTTCTCCTCAATGCTTGTTGTGAACATATCAAGATCACAACATTGCACGGTTGAAAATGTACGTCCCTGACATTATTAACACATTAGTACACATATACATATCACTCGGAATGTTTTTTTATATATATATATATTAATATTTAGTTTGAAATTTTATATAATTTAAGTTAATTAAAATAATTGGATAAAAATATCAATAAAAAAATTTATTTCCAGCAACAAATTAATTTAAAAATTAAAAGATGAGATAATATTAATTATAGAAAATAATATTTTAAAAAACCCAAAAGCTACTTTTAACGACTTTTGCAAACCGTTAAGAAAGTGATAGTCAAATTTAAATAACTTATTTGATTTAAAATTATAAATTAACGAGAAAATTTAACAAATAGAAAATTAGTATTCTTGAATTTATAATATATTTTTTAATATTAAATTATTGTAAGAATCCCATGAAAATATTTTTAATATATATAGTATGAAATTGAAAATTTTAAAACAGTTAAAACAAAATAGAAAAATTTATTTAGTAAATAAAAAATAAATATATTTTTTTAAAGGTGGGAAAGACTAATATTTAAATTTAAATTTAAATTTTTAAAAGTTATGTTGATGTTTGTAAAATACAATTTATTAGTATTTATATATATATATATATATATAATATTTTAATAAAATTATATTGAAAAATAGACCTTATCTATTAAGCAATGGCGATGGCACCAAACACGTGTCTAGAGTGGCAGACAACAACAACGAGCGGCAACCACATATCTACGAAAAAGAAGAGCAAGGAAAGATAGACAGGAAGACGAGGGATTAAAAAGAGAGACAAGAAAATCACATTGTTAATCCAATCATCATCGATTTTGTTAGATCAATTAACCTTTGAATAGATTAAAAAAACGATTTAAAACAAGATTCAAGCCCAGAAATCAGATTAGGATACAAAATCTAGATTTGGTACTGATGTTCCCCTAAATTCTAAACCCTAAAACGATTTAAACCGTTCCCATGCCTAGGAACGTCCCATGCTCAGGAATCAGATTATGATTCAAAATCTGGATTTGGTACCTGAAGGTCCCTTGAACCCTAAACCCTAAAACGATTTAAACCAAGAACGTCCCATTCACAAGAATCAGATTAGGATTAAAAATTTGGATTTGGTACCTGATGGTCCCCTAAACCCTAAACCCTAAAACGATTTAAACTAGGAACGTCCCATGCCCAGAAATCATATTAGGATTCAAAATCTAGATTTGGTATCTGATGGTCCCCTAAACCCTAAAACGATTTAAACCAAGAACGTCCCATGCCCAGGAACGTCTCATACCCAAGAATCAGATTGGGATTCAAAATCTAGATTTGGTACCTAATGGTCCACTAAACCCTAAACCCTAAAATGATTTAAACAGGAACGTCTCATGCCCAGGAATCAGATTATGATTCAAAATTTGGATTCGACCTCACAAACCTACACGAGTCATTCCAGTATATTTTATTTTCACTCACGAGATCACCCAATATAAAATTGCTCCAAGCAAAAGTAAACACGTTTAACTATGAAGTTCATACGATCAAGCTACTAAAAAGAAAGATAATATCTCGTTTATAAAGCAATTTTGTCTCATATTAAATTAGTATGCGTATCAAAGTTCTCTTACGTAGATGGTGACCACTAATTTCAGTCATTTGTGTGTGAAAACGTTGGAGGGCTCAAGATTGCACGCCGCTGCAATGTTTATTTGATTTTCTTGCCGTGTGAAGTAAAACTACGCCGTTTTCCAATACAAAGGCCAATTTGAACTTTTATTTGTTTGACTAAAATACCCTCGAGTACATGGCCAATTTCCTTCCACAATTAATCTATAACTTTTTTTTTATTTTTATTTTAATTATATACAAATAAATAACACGTGTGTATGTGACCTGCAAAATAAAGAAAACCCGTAGAAAACTAAGAGTTTTGAGCACGAGATTTGAGTTACGTTTAGTAGGATTTATCTGTTTTCGAATAGGGTTAGGAGAAAGTCGAGAATGTTAGATTTGTCTTCCTTTGAGGACCAATTGGGTCGTGGGCTTCCATATTAGGTCCACTGGTGTCTAGGTAGACTTTCGAGCCTCCGAGTCTAATAACCTACTTACTAGGTCTAGACTTACTTCAAGTTTTACATCGATCTCGGTTTGTCCTCTATCCCTTTGATCTTGATCCTATTGTCTAAAATCATGTAGGTAAATTTTGGTACTTTAAAAATAATTATTTTTATGGATTTGTTTAATTTAATTTAATTTAATTTTTATTATTTTTTAACCATAATTTTAAACATAGTATTATACTTAAATTTATCAAAATTTTATTTTAGTTTTACAATAAATAATTCGAAAAATTACTTTTTTAGAATTATAAAACAAAAACAAAATAGAATTTTTTAGCGTTGAAAATAAGAAAATAATTTACATTTAATAAAGCGGCATGGGCGGTTCCCCACTGCGACGCGTAATATGATATGACCTTGAATTGAAATTACGAAAATACCCATGTCGTCTCCTTTAGATATCCCAATGGTCGGTTAGCCAATTCTATAAAACCCTCAAGCGTGTGCTTCCAAGCTCAATACAGATTTCTAGAGAAATATTTACTCAGAGAAGTTTTATCATTCTGGTTTACGACGTCAATGGATGCATTATCGGAGTTTGTTTTCGCGCCGCCGCCTTCACTGTTCTTGAACGTGGTGACGGTGGTGATCCCGGTGGTGGTGGCGATGTTAGGACTTTCCGAAGCGAGGGGAAGGCATTTGCAGTATTCGAAGTTCTGGAATGCGAACAGTGCTCCGAAATCGTTGGAGAAGTTCAAGCTGCCGTCCTGGTTAGGGATGCTATTGGCTTATACTCCGGCGTTATTGGCTGGCGTTTTGTCGTTGTGGTTCTTTCCGAATGAGGATCGGAGGACGCTTCTGCTGAAGTCCGCACTCACCTTGCATTTCTTGAAGAGAGACCTTGAGGTAATGTCTCTGTTTCTGATTATCTCTCCGTGCTCCTGATTGTGTTCTGAATGTCGATCTGATCATGGAAATAGATAGTGTGGATTGCAGATTGAACTTTCTGTTCTTGCATTGATTCGTGACTTACTTATTAGTTATTCATGCTCTAGTTTGATCTAATCCGGAAAAACTATGGTCGAACGCGCTTTCTTCTCCATTCATTTGATTAACTATTCATCTACTCGTGAAGAATCGATTGTTCAAACTAGTTTGATCCGTTTTTTGAATTTGTTCTTCGCAATCTTCTCTAGTTTTTGAAAACCAAATGAAAATTCCCGCGGAGTAATTAGTGGAGATCATAGCCTTGTGAAATTGACCTAGAAATTCTCCCTGCTTCTTACCATTTCACTATACATCTTGTGAACCAGGAACATTTCCGTCATTTTTGTATGAGAAATGTTTTGACTTGATTTTTTTGTAATTTTCTTTTCATTTGACATTCGTTTTTCTCTCTGTTTTTTTGTTTAATTGCCTTACTTGTTTTTGTTTAAAAGTCGTATGAACTTTACTCCTCCAGCTCAAAAAATGTTTTCAAATTGGCACTACACATAATTCATGGCAGTCCCCAAAGGCTTAACTCTCTCTTTCTATCTGAAAAACTGTATAGGTACTGTTTGTTCACAAATACAGCAGCAAAATGGTATTTGACACAGCAATTATAATCTCCTCCAGCTACTTCTCCTCTACAGCACTCATGATCTACACTCAACACCTATCAAAAGCGCTTCCTGAACCATCCATTGATCTGAAAAACATTGGACTTGCTTTGTTTCTAATAGGCATCATTGGGAACTTCTACCACCACTTTCTCTTGTCCAAAACCAGAAAACAAGGAGAAACTGGCTACAGAATTCCCCAAGGAGGTCTCTTCAACACTGTGATCTGCCCTCACTATCTGTTTGAAATCATCGAGTACTTTGGATTTGCTTTCATCTCTCAGACATTCTTCTCGCTCAGCTTTGCCTTTGGTACTGCTTTCTATTTGGCTGGGAGGAGCTCTGCCACTAAGAGATGGTATGCCTCCAAATTTGAGGACTTCCCCAACCATATCAAAGCCCTTCTCCCCTTCGTATTTTAGCCTTTCAAATAGTTGTGTATCGTATTTTAATTTTCTTTTTTATGAGTGTAATGTTTTAACAGATGAATTATGTTTAAATTTACGATATTAACATTGATTAAAAGGTTAATTAATACTCATTTTATTACCAAACATTAACCTAATTAATATAAAATATTGGGTTCTTTTAGTGACCATGGTTAATTAGTTGCTTCCAAATATACCACGACTAATTAAATGACTAATTAAATGTGGTAAACATAGTACAGTGGCATTTAATGCTAATTAATTTGAATGACTATGAAATTGTATGATTAGGGATGTCCTGGACCACGGTGGACTGCCCATTTTAATGCTAAAATGGTTTTTTTTTTTTTTTTTTTTTTTAGGTTCTTATAAATATTATTATTTATATATTGTAACATCTAAACTTTCCATGCTATGATTAATTTTTTTGTATGTAAAATATTAATTTTTGATTTTTTAGAAATTATATGATAAAACATTATGTTTGCAATTTTTTTAATAAAAATTATATGGTATAATTTTTCATTTATTTTTGCAGGATCACGGATAATTTACCCGTTTATTTTTCTTTTAAATAAATAGTTATTTTAAAATGTTTATTTTTTAATATAATTTTTATTAAAAAATTGTAAAAAAATTTCAATATATATATATATATATATATATGATAACTTTTACCAACATAATTTTTAAAAAATTAAAATTCAATATTATAACATAGTTTTTAATCATTACAAAAAAAAACCAATAATATTTAATTTAAATATTAGTATTAGAGTTTAAAAATTAATTTATTTATTTTTTTAATACTATCAAAAAACGTGTATATATATATATAATATGCATTGAAAATATATTTATATTAAGCGGGTCAGAAACGAGGTCGGGTGGGGAACTTTGGTGAGGACGAACCACATTTATTTAACGGGTTAAAAATATTTCTCACTTCCTCCCCTCCGGGTTTGAGGCGGATCCTATGGGTTAGGTGAGCATCTCTCTGTTTGAGGCCGATCCTATCTCTCTGTTTGAGGCGGATCCATGGGTTAGGTGAGCATTTCCCTATATACACCCTTGCCACTCAAAAACAATTGGTTCGGTCCGGTTTTTTAAAAAAACCGGAGATATCGACCACCTATAAATACCGGCCATCTAAATTTCTTGCAAACTCCGCTCCAGTTGCAGTCTAAAGCTGTCCAATTTAGTTCTCCTTCTTCAGTTCAATTTTTTTTTTCTTTCCATTTTCTGGTTCGAGATCATGCCCTAATGCAATGGGTCTTGATTTTACTGATCTTTCTATTGATTTAACATGGAAATGATTCTATCTACGCCCTCTGCCAGCTTTCTTCCAAGCTGCCGACGCACCCACCGTCGGCCGGAATCACCACGGTCTCATCCTCGAAAGGTAATCGCTAAATTCGATCGAGTTCTTCATCCAAAAGCTTCAAAATCACGCTTAACGCCGAATGCGCAACAAAGAACGTAAGTTTCTCTTTCGCGCATTTTCACAAACAGGTTATGTGCGCATTCTGTGGTATCTACCTATATGTATGGATTGGGATTTTGCAGGTGTGAATGTTTCGATTTTCACAGAGATCTAATTCCATATAACGATGCATGGTCTTGGCAAAAGGACATCGTGAGAGAAAAAATAGCATTGATCGATGCGAACGAGGATTGCCCAGATTCGCTAATTGTCTTGCAGCATCCTCCTGTGTACACGTTGGGCACTAACAGTACTGAAGAGTTTCTTAATTTTGATCCCAAGGATTCTCCCTTTCCCATTTACCGCACCGAGCGTGGAGGGGAAGTTACATATCATGGCCCTGGCCAGGTAATTGATAGTGGTTTCTAATCATTGACCTAAGGATCTGATATGAACTTGATATAGGATGCATTGCATTTCACATGAATTTGAAGCTGTGTTCTTCACATTGTAATGTGATGCTTGTTTTTCCAATGTTTTTGTAATTTAGGAGTTAAAAACTCGTACTTTGGTTGTTTTTATTTCTGAGGTTCGTTTACATGACATTGATAGGATTTGTCCTGTGCTGTAGATAGTTATGTACCCTATTATCAATCTACGAAATCACAAGATGGATCTTCATTGGTACCTCAGGGCACTTGAGGAGGTCATTATATGTGTTCTTTCATCGACGTTTTCGATCAATGCTAATCGGGTCGATGGTTTAACGGGTGTCTGGGCAGGTATTCCTTGTAGTTTTTGGCTGAAATTTGTATGTTGCATATTGCAAATACACACCTTTTCTGTTTTGATTCTAGATTATCTGACTTGTGTTGTTTACTTGGCAATGGCAAACATTTTTGTTCTTGAGCTAATTCAGTATCCATAATAGGAAATTTTTGTTTTTCTTTTCTACAAAACATTGACAATTTCTTGAGGGTTCTATGCATAACCATTTGGTTTTAAAAAATTGAGATTATAAACACTGTTTTCACACACAAACTTGTCCAAGTCAAGCTCGAAAACTCAAAAAAAATAGGCTAGGTTGGATTACCATTTGATTTTTAAAAATTAAGCCTATGAATACTACTTCCACCTATGAGTTTTCTTGTTTATGCAGCTTAGGTCTAGCTCGATAGTACTACTCCTATGAACCTACCACTTGGCAATGGCGCTATTGAGTTCGATCTAGGTCGCTGATAATTCTCTATGAGTTTTCTTGTTTTATTGTCTACTTTTTACATATATTTTTAAATACCAAGCCAAATTTTTGAAAACTAGAAAAAAGTAGTTTTCAAATTTATTTTTGAAATTTGGTTGAGAATTCTGAATAACTATGGAACTTGTCATAACTTGAGAGAATAAGCACAGTTTTCAAAAGTCGAATGTTTTTTGTTTTCGTCTGCACGAAATCTCGAGAGCTGAATGACTGTGCTCTGTTTTACCCTTGCAGGAAACCAGAAACTGGCCGCAATTGGAATTAGGGTATCTAAATGGATAACATTTCATGGATTAGCACTGAACGTCACCACTGATCTAAGTCCATTTAATTTGATAGTTCCATGTGGAATAAGAAACCGGCAGGTCGGAAACATCAAGGAGCTGCTGCTGCTGCTGAAAGAAGCCGAGAACAGCATACATTTTGACAAGGACTCCCAGTTGATTGATATCACTTTTGAAGCTCTAATACACCAATTCTCTCAAGTCTTCCAAGTTGATATCCATCAGAAAACGACCACGCCCCCATTTTTGGAGTCCCTAAAACAAGCTCCACCAAGCTCCCCTGGTTAGATATCCCTTACCCTCTAAAGCTTTAGCTGCTAAAATGTTTCCCATTTTCTTCATTTTTTATACAGTCTGTCTTGAGGCATCAAGCTTTTGAAAATGTTGTAGCTCTCCACAAAATTTATAGGGATAAATCTGAATTTATAGCTTGTAAAATATAAATTTAAGCACTTTTAGAACGTGCTATGATGATAAACTTTTTTCGACATTACTATGATGAGATGATTTTGACGTTATAAACTCCGAATAACTTAAAGATTTTATATGAGGCCTATTTTCAAGAATATAAGTGACTAGGCATGGTTTCAAATTATGTTTAGGACCTAAACCAAAATTATGATGCATAATGACCAAAATGCCCCTACCAAGATTGTATGAGTGTCATGACCTCAGCTCGGTTTTGCGTCATGACCTAAATCAAAATTAGGGTGCCTGATATCTTTTGTTGTGATATTATGGTGGTTGATCCAACCTTGGTTCTGCATCATGACCTTAACACGCTCGCCTTACTCTCCAGTGCCATCACGACCCAAACAAGAAGACTCATCCTTGAGAGCGAGTGAGCACACCTCATATAGTGATTTTTTTTTGCCTCGAGGTGTTGTGCCCTAATTCTTTAATCGTTGGCTTTACCTAGTAGAATTGTCAAGTGGGCACCCAAATTTTAATAGGACTTGGGGTTGACACCTAGACATTTAGTGGTGGAAAACACGAGTTGAGATCGATGAAGTCATGAACAGAGATACGCAGTCAAATTTCACTTGTTTGTATCAGTTATGAATTGATTGTTCGACGATCGAAGAATGCCCTTAAATGAGCTATTTCCAATTTGTCCCCAAACCAGCACGCAATGACTCGCTCTCGCCACGAAATGAAGGAAAGGTAAAGTTGCTAAGACTCACTAATTAAACATCTGCTAAGACTCATTAATTAAATGTACACAGTCTCTATGATATGAAATCGGCACAAGGGCTTTGATACCAAATAATATGAAATCACTTGTAGTAAGATTCAGATTATCTTGAAATTTAGATTACCTTGTTGATCGAATATTTCAAGACAAGAACACTTGTTTGAGATTCAAATCACTCCACAAGTAAGATCGATCATGTCTAGCTTGAATGATTCTAAACATGAAATCTAAATTTGGCCCTAAAGAAAAAGAATCACTCTACGAAATCTTTTGATAATTTCAACAACATTTTTTTCATATCTTTATTGAAGTATATTGTATGATTGATGTTTCTTGGTTCATATCATTCTCCACTTCTTCAAGAGGATTCGTCATCGAGTCTATTTGTGAAACTTTGTTCCAAAAAATAAGTAACGAAAATACAAAGGACATCACACCACATTCTCAAGTGATACACTCAAGAAATTTTAGGTCACTATGTTTGCACTCATTTTCACAAATTAAGTATGAACCCAAGTGGTTGAGTATCTCTCTTCGAAATTCTGAGCTATTTCAAAGGTGTTAATTTTAACAAATATGCAAAGAATGCAAGGGTTCATAGCTTAGTGGTAGAGCATTTGACTCTTGCAAATCAAGAGGTCTCACCGGTTCAAATTGAACTCGGTTGAGTCCTTTCTATTACTATTTTTCTATGAACGTCAGTGGTAGAGCATTTGTCTTCGAAATTTCGAACAATTTCAAATGTGTGAATTTTAGTAAATATGCAAGGGTTCATAGCTCAGCGGTAGAGCATTTGATTGCAGATCAAAAGGTCATCGATTTTTCTATTATTATTTTCCTATCAAGTACAAATGAACCTGGTTGAGCCCTTTCTATTATTATTTTCCTATCAAGTACAAATATGCACCGATTTGAACCCGATTGAGCCCTTTCTATTATTATACAAATATGCAAGGTTCGTAGTTCAATACTAAAGCATTTGATTGTAGAGGTTTTTGTACCTGATTAAGCCCTTTCTATTATTATTTTTCTATCAAGTATGAACCTTAGGGGTAGAGCATTTGTCTTCGAAATTTCGAGCGATTTCAAATGTGTGAATTTAAATAAACATGTAAGGGATGCAAGGGTTCATAGCTTAGTAGTAGAGCGTTTGACTACAGATCAAGAAGTCATCGGTTCAAACCCGATTAAACCTTTTTCAATTACTATTTTTTATGAACCTCAGTGGTAGAGCATTTGTCTTTGAAATACCGAGTGATTTCAAATGTGTGAATTTTAATAACTATGCAAAGATGTAAGGGTTCATAGCTCAGCGGTAGAGCATTTGATTGCAAATTAAGAGGTCACTAGTTTGAACCCGGTTGAGCTCTTTTCAATTACTTCAGTAGAGTATTTGACTACAGACCTTTTCAATTAGTATTAGTATTTTTTTATGAACCTTAATTGTACCGAGCGATTTCAAAGGTGTCAATTTTAATAAATATGTAGAGATGCAATGGTTTATAGCTTAGTGGTAGAGCATTTGATTTCATATCAAAAGGAGGTCACCGAGTTCAAACTTGGTTGAGCCCATTTCAATTTTTCTTTTTTTATGAACCTTAGTTGTAGAGCATTGAATAAATATGTACGGATGCAAGGGTTCATAGCTCAGTAGCAGAGCATTTGACGGGTCACCGGAACCTTAGTTCTTCTCTGTCTTTAAAATTCTTCTGAGCGATTTCAAAGGTCATTTGGGACTATAAAAATGATATTAAACCGATATCTAATAACTAAAAGTGTTTGTTAAATTTAAAAAAATCCCATTTGTGTGAAATAAGTTTTTAAAAATTAAATATTTAAAATTACGTGATATATCAAAAAAGCTTTTTTTTTTTTTTTTTCTTCAAATAGACACAAATTCAATAACTAAACGTGAAGTTCAACCTTACAGGAATTTGCTTGAGAACTGCAACAGTCGGCATTTGAACGGCGAAAAAGGTATAAATATTCAGCAGACATCACGATTTTTCGTCCCCTGAGTTGGGCTAATCTGAATCTTGAAGAACGGACTCATCATCAATGGATCGACTGGATGATTCCGCGAAGCTCATGATAGTTTCTGATCTTGATTTAACAATGGTGAGTTTCTTCAACCTCGCGAAGCCTTTTTCATTTTCCATCCGGAAATTTTAACGAATTGAAGATTGTACATACAGGTCGATCATGACGATGATGAGAACACATCGCTTCTCAAGTTTAATGCTCTATGGGAAGCCTACTACCGTCGGAATTCTCTTCTTGTGTTCTCAACTGGAAGATCGCCGACGAGTTACAGAAAGTTGAGAAGGGAAAGGCCTCTGTTGACTCCAGATTTGACGATAATGTCGGTTGGAACGGAGATTGCTTATGGCGATTTGATGGTTTCAGATGATAAATGGGAACAATTTCTGAATTGGAAGTGGAATCGAGATGTAGTTGTGGAGGAAACCCTAAGATTTCCGGAACTCAAGCCGCAGGTAGAGATGATAATTTGATTTGTTTTTTCTTTTTCATTCCTTAGTTATGTATTGAATTGATGTTCTGTATATCTCATTGCTTCTTGAGGATGCTTTTGTTTCTAGCCCTAATTGGTTTGATTGGGATGTTTCTTCAACCTACTGCACAAAATGAGGATATTACAGTCAGAAACGGAGCAACGGCCTTTCAAGGTTAGCTTCTTCATAGAGAAGGATAAAGGTCCCCAAGTGGCGGATGCTCTGTCTGATTGCTTGGAGAAACGAGGGGTAAGTTGATGTTTATTTTGTTGGTCTGAACTGGATTTATTGCTGAATTCAACTGGACCAAAATGATTGTTATCTTTTTTACGTCTTGAAAGTTTAGGAACTAAAAGTAGTAATGTAGATGTTCTAAAGAGTTTATGAACTAGAAGAAGTAATATAGATGCTTCAAAAGTTTAGAGACTAAAATGAAATAAACTTAGAACTTTAGACATTAAAGACATTTTGAAAGTTTAGAGACCAAGACGGAACTTTTAAGTTTTAGGACTAAAATTGTGAGCTCCCACGTTGGTTGGAGAGGGGAACGAAGCATTCTTTATAAGGGTGTAGAAACCTCTTCTTAGTAGACGCGTTTTAAAACCTTGAAGGGATGCCTGAAAGGGAAAGCCCAAAGGAGACAGTATCTGCTAGCAGTGGGCTTGAGTTATTACAAATGGTATCAGAGCCAGACACCGGGCGGTGCACGCTGGGCTCCCATGGGGGTGGATTGTGAGATCCCACATTGGTTGGAGAGGGGAACGAAACATTCCTTATAAGAGTGTGGAAACTTCTTCCTAGCATATGTGTTTTAAAACCTTGAGGGGAAGCTTGGAAGAGAAAGACCAAAGAAGACAATATTTGCAAGTGGTGGGCTCGGGCTATTACAAATGGTATCAAAGCCAGACATCAGTTGGTGTGCCAGTGAGGACGTTGGGCTCCCAAAGAGGTGGATTGTGAGATCCCACATTGGCTGGACAGAGGAACGAAGCATGTCTTATAAGGGTATGGAAACCTCTCCCTAGTAAACACATTTTAAAACCTTGAGGGGAAATCCGGAAGGAAAAGCCTAAAGAAGACAATATCTGCTAGCGGTGGGCTTAAGCTCTTACAAGGATGGTATTTAAAATTTAAAAAAAAAAACGATTTGTTCTGTCCGTGATAGTCTTGGGTGAGGAGAACCTTCCTGAATCAATGGAGTTACTCTGCAAATCTTTCTCAAGAAAAACACTCTGTTTTATACTGCAAATCTTTCTCTTCTGCACTCATTTGCTTGCCCTGTGTTACCCTGTTAACTCATTGAATATACTATGTCAGTTGGATGTAAAAGTAATCTACAGCAGTGGAATTGCTTTAGATATATTGCCAAAACGTGCTGGCAAAGGAGAGGCGCTTGCATATCTTCTCAAGAAGTTCAAAGCTGATGGGAAAGTTCCAGCCAATGTTCTTGTTTGCGGCGACTCTGGAAACGACACCGAGCTTTTCAGTGTCCCCAATGTCTATGGTGTAATGGTCTGTGGCCTTGAAAACTCTTCATCATCTAAGTACATATCAACGGTGAACTGTTAGATTTCGGGTGCCAAATGTTTCCCTCATCTGTGTAGGTAAGCAATGCACAGGAAGAGCTACTGCAATGGTACGCCGAGAATGTGAAGGACAACCTGAAAATAACTCATGCAACTGAGAGATGTGCAGGAGGGATCATAGAGGCTATAGGCCGCTTCCAACTTGGTCCAAATCTGTCCCCTAGAGACATTATAGATTTCAAAGGCTGCTGCTGCAAAGTGGAGACGACTGATCCTTATTTTGAAGTCGTGAAATTTTATGTGCTTTACGAAAGATGGAGGCGCGGTGAAGTCGAGAAGTTGGAGGTGTATCTTGAACATCTGAAGTCCATCTTTCATGCAGAAGGGATAGTTGTGGATACGAGCGGGAACGAGCGAAGTAGAGAGGAATTGGTAGATGGAATGAGAGGGTTATATGGTGACATGAAGGGCACCCAATTTCGAAGCTGGGTTGATGGACTCTCCTCCTCAGAGATCGGATCGGATTCTTGGCTTCTCAAGTTCAACAAGTGGGAATCATATTCTTCCTCGTCTTCATTATCATCATCAGGTAAGAATTAAGATCATTGCATCATCATCATCGTCAGGTAAGAATTAAGATCTTCGCATCATCATCATCATAAGATGTGAGATCTCACATCAATTGGGGAGGAGAACGAAACATTCTTTATAAGGGTATGGAAACCTCTCTTTAGCATATGCATTTTAAAAACCTTAAGGGGAAACTCGAAAGGGAAAGCCTAAAGAGGACAATATGTGCTAGCGGTGGGCTCCGACTATTACATAAGATATCTTCTCTCTTTTATTATTGATCGTTCTTTTTACAGGGAATCAGTTCATGGGGAGCTCAACTACAATTCTAATGACCTTACAAGTAAAAACTAACACGAAAATCCTTTATTTTATTTCGTTGTTTGGTTCGTCTTTTGATGCTGTAGTTTCGTCCATCTCACTCTATGAATATGTAACAGAGAAAGGTATCAGAGGATGGTTTGATATGGATGCACGTGCATCACACATGCTTGGATGGTTCACATTCACATCAAGAATTACAACACTTCTAAAACCAGTTTTCCTGAAGAAGAAGTATGTATCTATTTCCATTCTTAATTTCACTTTAGAAATTGTTTTTATGTTAGAATAAATCATATTGAGGGTTAAATCATATTGTCAACGTGAGCATAGATATATTTGAAGATTCTTATGTTAGAATAAATCATACACGAGTTATGCACATTTGAAGATTAAAAATGTCTTAAACCTTACTCTACTTAGTATAGATATGTATTTTATATCGTTAATGAACGAAATATATATTATATATATAGGTTCTTTTAGAAGTGTAACATTTTCACAACGATGAAAATTTATAATTCTAGTGAATAATATCACATATCCCATATAGTAGCAAATTGTAGGCATACCATATGTATATTAGTATGTGCAACGATGAGAGCTAAACGTCTTACAAACAAGGAGCATGGATAGAGAAACCTATATAATAATAAATAAATAAATCTATATTCTTCTACATATTATGGTTTAATAAAAAAAAATGCACAACCATCGACATCGAATATATGAATGACCGAATCAAGTTTTATCTTGGTATAAAAGACACCAAAAACGTCACACTTTTTTTCGACAAATTAAACAAATATACGAAAGATATAGCCCAAGATTATTAAGTGGAAGAGGAAATCATGATGAAGAAAATAAAGGTTAATATATAAATGGAACTGAGAAGTTATTGCTACTACAATCCATAAAACCAGTCGCTAAAATAAATGGCAAAGCATCCGAGGCTGACGATATTGTAACCTCATGGACCTCAAAATTTCCTCAAATAATAACCACCAAAGTTTTCAACATACTAATGCCTGCTGCTGACTGCTAGATAGAACTAGAAGTGTACCTGCAGTACACAAACGGCGATTGTAGCAACGATCATTGCAATAAAGGATGGTGTTCCTCGAGTTCCTGCTGATGTCGACCTATGCATAAAATGAAATCGAAAATAGACATCTTAATGACATTGAATTATTTCCTAAAAATGCATAAAGATGGATGGAAATGAGATGGAGTAATGGTGTAGTACTTACCTCGCAACGATGTCCTTGACCGATCCAGTCGTGAGTCCGAAACCCAAAGGAAAAAGTGGATCATAGTGTCGATCTCCAAAGTTCATTGGCAGTTGATCTACAGATTTAAACCATGTTCTTGGAAGCTTCCCACTAAACCCATGGTCTCCATAGAGGGCATCAGTGACTCCCAGGCCTTCAGTCCCAGGTAACCAAGCTGCTACAAGAGCATCCATGGATGAAATGTATGGTTCCATCACAATTGGCCTCCCAGAAATGACAACCACCACACACTTTACAGACTCACAAACATTTTTTATGATGCTTGGACCTGGATCTAACATGGTAAGCGTCGTACTATCCCCTCCTGTCTCGGCATACGGGGCTTCGCCAATAACGACAATGGCATATGAGAAGCCATTCGACTTAACAAAGTCACTGTCGGGATCCTCACGGAATACAACCTCTGTGCTCGGATCAACTGTTGATTTAATGGCAGCTAGGATGGTAGTTCCTGCCGATCAGGAAAAGGAATCTAAATTTGTTTCTACTCTAATATCAAAGGGAAAGCCCTGAAGAATGAACATAAAGGAGAGAATAATATAGCTTATCTTGGGAAGTTTTGGTATTCAAGAAGTCCATAAGAAAAAAAAATTGTCATCTACAACTAATACTATATATATGTACACTTTACTAGCAAACAAGGATCACATTCAATACCTCAATTAACATAAACCTCCAAACTATTGGAACAATGCTAAAATGATGCCGCATTGTGAGATCCCACATCGATTGGGGAGGAAAACGAACATTCTTTATAAGGATGTGGAAACCTCTCACTAGTAGTCGCATTTTAAAAACATTGAGGGAAGCCCGGAAGGGAAAGTCCAAAGAAGACAAGATCTACTAGCGGTAGGCTTGAGCTGTTACATGCACTTTCAAAACTTATCCTAGAGATCTTCCCAACTAGTCGGGAAGTATTTTTAATGCACAAAAAAATCTCAAATATGGGTAATGAAGAATGAGTGAAAAGAAACATACCCCTTGTAGCATTGTTGCCACTGAATCCTTGCCATGCAATGGTCCACCCACCACATTGATATCCTAAATTATCAGCATGAGTACCAACAACAAGGATCTTTGGGGCCTTCTTTGAAAGGGGTAGCAACGGATCGCTATCATTTTTACCATTCTTCAGCAGTACGAGTGACTGCCTCACAGCATCTCTTGCCAAGTCTCTATGTGCCTATTAATCATAGATGCAAAATCATGTCAATAAGGCTTGTCGCTCCAACTTATAGAGTTGTAAGAGAACATTCACGAGATAACCCATTTGGGAGAAATGTTTTAAGAACAATTATTAGGTTTTTCTCTAATTGGAGTCAGACCTGACTCCCAAGCTCATTGACAAGGCTGTAATCACCCAAGGGGCTTTCAAAAAGTCCCATTGTGAACTTGACTGATAAAATTCTGGCAACAGCATCGTCAATTCGATCCATCGGTACAACATTGTTCTTCACTAACAACTTAAGATCATCAATGAACTCCGCATATTTGTAAGGAACCATGACCTGCAAAACACACAGAACCAAAGCCTAAATACTCCAACATTTCAAAGCAACGCATCAATCATATAATCAGACCAAGTTTGATTTAAGGTATCCTTAAAGAGAGCCACCAACCATGTCAATGCCAGCTGAAATTGCAGCTTGGACAGAGTACGTGTAATTAGAATGCGGCGTAGAAGTTATTCTGTCGAGACCCTCCCAATCTGAGATGACAAAACCCTGAAAATGCTCATAGTAAAATTAGAAAACATCAGTCAGCAGCATCATTAAATTGTCAGACATACCTTAAATTTAAGGGTACCCTTGAGGAAGCGAGTAATCAGGTCACGGTTGGCATGCATCTTTACTCCATTCCAACTAGAATACGAAACCATTACCGATGAAACGCCCTTGATGATCGAATCTAAATAGGCAGGCATGTGAATGCCGAGCAGTCCATGCCTGTCAATAACTGTATTATTCTCATTGATGCCATGAGTTGTCCCACCATCTCCAACAAAGTGCTTTGCACAGGCGATAACTTTCTTCCTGAAAGAAAATTTGAAGTGTTTTAAATAAATTTGCAGAGAGTAGGAAAGGACTTTACAAAGAAATCAGATATTGTCTCAGCAATTTGAGGAACAAGACAACATTTTGCATGAATTCACAGTTTTTTTTTATAACAAAATGAAAATTAAAATTCTATATGTTCAAAGGCCATACGTTCCACCAACATAAGGAATCCCCTTCCGATAATTAGCAGGAGGCTCTCCTTGCAAACCAATTATAATCTCAGTCATATTTTGCACAAGTTTTGGATCCTCACTGTAGCTTTCATAACACCGCCCCCACCTCGGGTCCCTACAAACCTAAAAGAAGTTTCCTTGTTATATATCCAGCTCACTACTCAAACAAATAGTGAGATATTCAATAAAAAACATGGGATTACCGCAAGGCAAGGAGCAAAGGTATAAGAAATCCCTGTGGCTCTAACTTCTAGTGCTGTTGCTGCACCAATCCTTCGAAGTAGGTCAGGGTTCCTGTGTAGGAGAAGCAATGGACCGAACAAATGTAAAGGTGTTATAAACTAAGACATCTCGATTGTGAAGTGATCCAAATTTTGAATAGTTTCTTTGCAATTCTATGTAATATATTTAGAATCATTCAAGCTTGACTAGATCATTCGCTCGTGAAGTGATTCAAATCTCAAGCAAGTTTTCTTGCCTAGAGATATCTGATTAACGAGCCAATTCAGTTCTTATCTTTCATGAGTTAATTTCTAAATTCATATTGAAGTTTTTGGATTTTGTTAGATCCAATTCAAGCTTGTTTGGGATCCCTAATTTCTTAAGAACTTGCCTGGTAGCTCCAAGTCCAACATTATGAGGAAATACTGTAGCATTGTAAACGTTGTTATGGCCGTGAACAGCATCAATGCCATAAATCATTGGGATGCCCAATCGACTAGAAAGAGAACCCTTCTGGAAATCATTTATCATGTCAACCCAATCTTGAGCACGAGCATCTGGCAGCGGCACACTTCCACCACCACTTAGCACACTTCCTGCACAAATTTCACAGTTCATGCTCTTAGAAAAGTTCTGTCATTGGGCTCCAATCAAATTTTGAATAGTAAATGTTTGGGTTTTGTACGAATGAGAAGCTCTTCAATCATTCGCTAGTTGTGACAAGTAATAATGGAACTCAATACCCTCTAGATTATGCCCTTGAACACGAATTAGACAGATCAATTCAACAAACTAACATACAAATATATAGTCCAAGTCCACCACTAACAGATATTGTCCGCTTTTGCCCGTTACATATTGCCATTAGCCTTACGGTTTTAAAACACGTCTGTTAGGGAGAGGTTTTCACACTTTTATAAAGAATGTTTTGTTCCCCTCTCACAAGTATAGTTTCAAAACTTCATAACTCACAGTAACAACATTATAACAGCTACAATGCTTCAAATATAATCTAACAGCATGCTACTCATGTACCTATTAAACTCAAAACAAAGTTACAACAAAGGTGTTATTATGAAGAAAATGATATCAATTAATCTTCAGCTTTCTTCTCCTTGGAACTGAATGAACACTAAGAAAAACTATAATATTCTAAGATATCATATAGAGCTTCAAATTAATGACAAAGGGGCAAGCATGACTAGTTCACCACCTTAGCTGTTGGTTACAAGAATCAAAATTTAGCTTAGAACAACTTCCATTCAGAGTAGACATAAACCAAATCAGGAACTTAGCACTCCCTAAATTGAAAATAGCACCAAACAATACTCTGAAGTCTGAACTACTCTATCATTAAACGTGCAAATCTTCAAGAACATATGGATAAAACTGAAAGTGTGACGAAAAGAGAGAGCGAGAGACTATTGCTTTACCAATAAAGTAATTTTTCATAACTGTAGCATTGGCAACGCTCCTGTCAATCTGAACCATCTGACCAATTTTCTCTTCCAGAGTCATTCGGCCAAGAAGATCCTTAACTCGAACAGAAACTGGTTGCTTAGGGTCTTTGTATTTCAAGTTCTCAGCGTCCACCATTATAGCCCACCACCACCAACCCAAGCACAGAATCACAACCACCTGAACAAAAATTTTGGCCATCTTCTTTCCCGAAGAGTTTAACCCACACTGTCAAGAACAAAAACATACACAAATTGAACCCACTTCTTCAACATTGAACTTACAGATATTTCAATTAAAATTAGAAATGAGACTCAAAGATCGATGTTCTACTACGTTGTTTTTTCCTCGTTTTTCTTTTCACTCTATTCTAAAACCCTCTAAATCCAGAATCGCTGCCTCATTTCCAGGAAGTTTTTGTCCATTCTCTCTCGGTTTCAATTAGCAGGAATCAGTATTCTTTCAGTAAATCGAAGAACAAACAGCATCAGGTAGAATCAAGACAAACCTACATTACAATCAGCGAAGATTGAAACACTACTAACAATTACCGCTCAAACCCTGCTTCAGCAATTATACGAATCAAAAACAGAGGCAATAGGGCGAAGAAGAGAGAGGTTACCTGAAAGCGTAAATGAGAGTGGCAATGGCAGAAAGCAGAATACGGAAGAGGAAGTTCAGTTAAAGCAATGGAAAAAGCCGGTAGTAATGGTGAGAGAGAGCTGGGGAATGGTGAATCCGTAAAAGTAGAGTAAGTTGGTGGGAAAGAGAAAGGTTAGTCGTGGGTTAATGGACGTTCTTGGAAAAAGTGGGAGCGAAATAGAGAGAACAGATTCCTCAGGCTTTTTCCGCCATTAACGAGCTTCTTTGTTAATCCAAGTCTAATCCAAGTCTAAGATGGTTGGGTCGTATATAAATTGTATATTAAAATATATTTTATAATTATTCGATGATCGAGATAAAATTAAAATTTTTGAAGATCTAAAGAGATTGTGGTAATGGTTAGTTAAGAATCTAGTAACCAACCACTATTGATCACTCGGACCACTGTAATTACATAAAATGGTTATCAAGGTAAGAGTTACACGGGTCGTATTCAATGTTTGTTCAATTACTCTTTTACCCGCAAATGCGATGTAGGCATTGGGTTCGGCAATAATGATATCCCCCAACATACCAAAACTTGCTGTCACCCCACCAGTGTGCTTTGGATCGGGAGTAATCACTAGTGAGAGGGCAAAAAGAAAGAGGGGGGAAGGACAAAGGAAAGAGCGATGCCTACATTAAATCAATTGATTCGTCGTCATGGTAGAGAAGAAAAACGGCGCACGGACCGTACTCGAGCTTCGGATCAATGTCCCCAGAAGCAAGGAGTACGCCCCCGTCTTTCAACGAGAACACCGAACAGGTTCTTTCTTTGATCTTCCCAAGAGCTTCTTTTACTTTACAGAGGGTATATAGGGGGAAAATTTGGTATTTGGATATTATTTGCATCAACGATTTGGCCAATCATGAATGATTGGTTCTGACACCATGTAAATGGAAATTTTACTTAATAAATGCTGAAGATATACCAAAAAAAATTAATTAATTTCTATTATGAAATGTTCATTTGGTAAGAGTTGATCAACTGAATAAATCGGGTAACCAGTCATTGATGGTCATTTTAAAGCGTAAGAGTGGATGTTGATTTTCACGTGATAAAGGTTACACTTTGTGTAAATAGAGTAACCAGACACTAATAGACACTCTCAGGTAATGATTGCTGAAAATATTTTTAAGTAGAAAAATTAGTTAGGGTGTATTTAACCACCAAGGTCCGTTGATTTCGTCAATTAGTCATGCGATGGTTTATGTATTAAAGGGGAGATCCTAAGTAGTTTAATACTCAACCTATTTTTTAAATGATTTTCAGGCGAGACAGTAGCACGTAAGTGATGAATAGGTCAGAGAAGTTAGTCATAGGGCAACGTGAGGATTTTATGTTTTCAGAACGTTTCCGCATTTAGTTTTTCATTGATTTAAATTGTGTTAGATCACTCCTAATTTGTGAAAACTAGCGGTTTAAATAAAGTTTATAAAATATATATATTTTAAATCTTTTTTCATTTATTTTAAAACGGTAAAATCGTTTTTCTTTATAACGGCTCTGACCGCCATATAGATACTTCGTTGGGAGATATTTTTTTCCGACATTTTTAATATATATATATTTATCGGGAAAAAAATATTGTATTGTAGGATATTATTAATAAAAGAGAAGAAAATGTACCTCTTTCCACTTCCATGGCAGTTTTAAGTTAAGCATTATGAATGCAATCCTCCCCTTCAACTAAAAAAATAAAATCAATACAAACATTTATAAATATAAATTTCTACATAAATTATAAAATTTTATTTAGTGAATTATAGATTATTTTTTTAGTTCTAAATTTTAATATAAATCCATTAAATGTAAGCTAAAAAAAAAGGAAATGAATATTATTATTTTTTTTTTTTAAAACAAAAATTTTCTTGAAATTATAATAAAGTAGTCTTAAATAATTATAGTGAAATTACTTCACTACCCATTATTATGAATTAATTAATTAATTATAAAGCTTTATTGGTTAGAATATTATAGATTTATAGCTCAAATTTCATTTTAGTTCCTAATTAATTAATTATATATATATATATATATATTATATTATAACTAATTTTAAAAATTTTAAAAAATAAAAATAATAAATATTTTGCCCTTTGATTTTACCTTAGATTTCTTATTTTGAAAGAAGGGAATAAAATGAGTAAGAAAGTGAAAAATGCTAATGCTCACAACAGGAGAAAGCTTCATAAAGTTAAATTACCTGAAACCGGCGATCTTCCGGCGGCAACAGCAGCAGCAACAGCGGCGGCGGAGGCGGCTGCTCTCTCTGGTTCAACGGCCGATCAGATCGCCGACGGGAAGAGAGAAGGCAAAAGAAGATCAGATCAGTGGAATGGTAGAATGCTAGATCGGAGTTCTCTGTTTTATATATATATATGAGAGGCAGAGAGATGCCTTGCTTTGAAACTAGAACGTGCAGCCTTTAATTTTCATTCATTTTCAAATTTCAACTAAAATAAATAGCTTTTATTATTCTAATCGGTTCTCGAGTTTTAGATTTGATTTTTAATTGTTCGTGTATTGATTAAAATGTCACGGTTTTGTTCGAACGACAATCCGTTAATTGTTTGTGGGAATCATTTAGAAAATGATTTCGAACTTATGAAGCTGAAAGTCCCGTAATCTTATGATTGGAGACTTGAGTTCACTCTCGGATTAGAAAAACGAGCTCTAGCTGCATCATTGTGATGATGCAGCTAAACTTCATCATGGTTCCGATGAAAATTAAGTGATTAAAACCTTTAAATTATTCTAAGAACTCAAAACAGTGGCATATGGAAGTAGCTTCTCGGAACTACCCTACCCTAAAATGGGAACAAAGGCTGCCAATGGTACCCGACGCCGATCGAACAAAAATTGGCTAGGAGCGAGACCTTTTTTGGGTGTTGGTTGTGGATCGTACGTGTCGAAATCATTGAGTTCGAACATTCCTCACAACAATACCCAATTGAGCATTGAGATGCTGCATCTTCAATTAAGGTAAAAACTTGTTGAAGATGCTATTGAAACATGTTGGGTGCGCACGTATTAAGTGTTGAGACACGACTAGCATTAAAGGTAGCATTGAAGGAGAAACGACAGCGTTGAGTGATACAAGAGCTTGCATTTTGTATCGTTGAGAGAGTATGAAGTATTGCCTTAATGCTATCTGCACGTCAGCGTTTAGATGCCCGATTGGCGCCTCAACACTATGCGCTCGAGTTTCCTTGTTTTGGCTTAGTTCTACCAAGTTGCTCAATCTCTAAAATAGACAAATAAGCCTGTGAAAATAACAAAACTAGCTCTAACACAATTTAGATGCTATCACGATAAATTGAGATTACATATCTCGAGACTAAATTGGGCTCAAATTTTAAGGTTACTAGGTTAAAATTAGGCTCAAACTCGAACAACTCAGATTACTCAACTCAAACGTAAATGTTCGGTTGGGTTAGATTTTTTAAATTTGGTTGGGTTTTATTTTTTTATAATTCAAAATTTAGTTCGATTCTCCGGTTGAAATTTTGTCATTAGACCCAACCCAAATCAGCTCGAACCAACCTGAATCTCGAGTATGTCTAAAGTTTTCTCTCAATTCAAACCGTGCACACTCTCTCGATTCTTCCTCTGTACTTCTACCTTTAAATTTCACAGTTTAACGTACATTTAAATTTTGTATTATACGTTCATTGTCACAGCTCGAGAACTAAAAAATCAAACATAAATCGAACTTTTCTCGACACGATTCAAACATAACAACGAGCTTCTCGAGAATGTAACCCTAAACCTAACCTTTGGCATAAGAACATGAAAGCAATTGAAGCACACTAAAAGGGGAAAGTGGAAGAGAAAAGTTATACTTTAGTACATAAAAGGGGAAAAATATGTCCCCTTTATCAAACAAAGCAAAAAAGGAATAATCCCAATTCGAAGCAACCAATTTCTAAGCCACATAAATACCGCCCAAACAAAGCCCTAATTTCAACCCATTACGAAAACCAACCCGACCCGTCAAAACAAAAAAAACCCGACCCAACAACAGCAACAGAACCGCCATATTTTCCGGCGACCAGAATGGCAACAGGACGACCAAGATCCGCCGGACTCGGCGCCCTCCGCCGTCAATCCCTCCGAGCTTACAACGAGCCGTTCACTCCTAATGTTGTAGAAAGAGATGAAAACGAAGCCCACATTCTCCAGCTCCAACTTCCTGGTCCAAATTTTTTGCATTAAATTTTTATTTAATGAGATTTATTTTATTTTTCTAATTTATAATATGAAAAAATAACTTTCAAAAATATTTTTATTTTTTAAACAATTACAATATTATCAAAATTTTAAAATTATTTTCGTTAAATATTAAATTATTTCAATTTAAACTAGAAAGGAGGGAGAGAACCTAGAGAGATTTTTCTCCAAATCTCCACGTGCTCACTTTTATTTATATATATATATATAAATAAATAAATAAGTGACAAATTTTTAATTTTGAATTTTTAGAAATCATTTCTTATAGTAAATTTATTAGTTAAAAATATATATATATATATTAAAATTATTTTTAAATGAATATATTTTTTTAAATAGTGTAGGAAAAAGATAAAAATATATATATATATATATATATATTCTCAACGGAATTTATATCAGTAAATTTTAGAATCTCATCCTATTTTCACAAAAAAATTTACGAGAATTGAAATAGGAGGCAAAGACGAAAAGTCTCTAGTATTACTTAATTCAAACAGACTTCTCGGTCAAAATCATACACCAAGAATTGAATTTCGGTCCAATATTGTAATGAAATTGTGATGAATGGTATTGCTTTTAAAGAATAAATATTTTTTAAAAATAAAAATCATGGGAATTTTAATATATATATTATTTTTTTAATCTGATAATTTTCTTTTGTGATGGAATTGTGTTTTCAGATTTCAACGAGCAGCATGTTAAGGTTAAAGTGGAAGAAGGAGCACGGACGGTGGTGGTGACCGGAGATCGGCTTCTCGCAAATAACAGATTGCTCATATTGGATAAAACTTATCCAATCCCACAAGATTGCCCAATTGACAAAGTTCATCATAAATTAGAAGCTGGATACCTCACCATTACAATGCCCAAACAAACTGCGCCACCGGAGGCGGTGGCCACGGCGGCGCCCAAGGATCCAGAACAAACAACCCCAGAAAAGGGGAGTGAAGAAACCACGCCGGAAAACGCTACTCCGCCGCAGAAAGAACCAGAGCAAAATACCCCAGAAAAGGGGAGTGAAGAAACCTCGCCGGAAAATGCTTCTCCGTCGCAGAAAGAACCAGAACAGACAAGCCTAGAAAAGGGGAGTGAAGAAACCTCGCCGGGAAATGCTACTCCGCCGCCGAAAGGACCAAAACAGACAAGCGTAGAAAAGGGGAGTGAAGAAACCTCGCCGGGAAACGCTACTCCGCTGCCCAAAGAACCAGAACAAACAACCCCGAAAAAGGAGAGTGAGGAAATCTCGCCGGAGGAGGAAGATAAGGGAAAATCTGCAGAACTCCAAAAGAAGGGCTCAGTGAAGGCTGAAGAAGAAGCTCCAACACAGGCGCCGACGGAGGTGCCACCGCCTGCGGCAGCTAAAAATGGGCCGGTACAAGGAGAATCCGGCAAGGAGAAAACGACGCCGGATGAGAAAATCAAGAACCCAAATCAGAAACCAACAGAGAAAGAAAATCAAAATCCAGAAAAGGGGAAGGAATCAAAAACAGAGAAAGTGGGTAAGAATGAAAAAACCGGCAAGATCGGCACCGGAACTCCATCTCGGAAAGCGACAACTAGTAAGAAACATGCCGCCGGCTTCACGAACACAAGGAGGGTCTTATCGGTGACGGCGAGTCTGGCGGCGGCGGTTGTAACAGTAGGGGCCGCGTATTTAGCATTTGCATATTACGGACTTTCGTTCGCTATGGAATGAAACTGAAATTCGCAATGGCTTCTCGAATTTATACCATAAAAGAATAAACAAAACTTTAAATAATTTTTCTAACGTCATTACCCTTATTTATAATATAGTTAAATATATTAAAAAAATAATAATAATAAAAGAAAAAGTAAACCATAATCATTTCATAAATTAGTCAACTGTGACTCATGTTCAATAATTCCCGTCCAACAAAGTACACCATAGAGCTGCCTCTGAGATTTATGTAGCCCTAAATAGCCTCCCTTAATCAAGGAGCCCTCGAATAAAGTACACTTCTTATTCGACACATGAGTCACTTTTGACTACACCTTCAAGACTCACAATTTCTTTATTCGACATTTGAGGATTCTATTAACATAAGTTAAGAGCATGACTCTAATACCATGTTAGCAATTACGACCCTCTACAATAGTATGATATTGTCTACCTTAAACATAAGCTCTCATGAAATTTCGAGTTTAAAATCATATTTTCAAAATCCAACAAACCAACTATAAATAAAGATTTGAATCCCCTCTTCCTTCTAAAATTATAAATATTGGAAGTGGCAAATTTTGGCTTCAAATTCTGAGTGAAGGCAAAAATTAAGTGTTTCTTATGCAATCTCGTAGAGTAGTGAGTTTAGAAACCATGGGTAGCAGTTCATCAAAACATGGGTTGCAGTTCATCCAAACACGGGTAGCAGTTCATCAAGTTTCCTCGAACATGGGTAGCAGTTCATCAAGTTTCCTCAACAGATGGATAGCAGTTCATCAAGTTTTCTCAAACATGGGTAGCAGTGAATTCATTTAGACCAAACCACCAGAGAAGGGAATATCAGTGTAAGGCAGCCATGTATCTCCCATAGTAAGATTATAGACAGTAAAGTTCATAGCTTGAGTAATATTCATCAAGCTATAGCCAGGCCAATCCACCCTCATGCTTGTGTTAGCTCCTGGCCCATAATTCTCAAACTCCCCATAATACAAAGTGTCCAACCCTGCTGTTCCATTCCACTCCAACCACCCCACAGGGCTGATCAAATCCCCAATGTAACACTGCATATACACTGTTCTTGAGTACTGCTTCCACGGTCGTCCAAGATAGTTTGTCGTCGTCGAGTTTGAATAATCCGTCTCCCAGTCGGGGGCTGCCTTGATAGTGCAGTCGTGGATCGAGATACCTGTGTTTTGGTTTGGATCGGTTCGGCCCTGTGCCGTGATGGCGATCTTTTGGTTCGGGAGTGGCTTTCTGGCGTATAGATTGCATTTTTGGAAAACTGCAGCGGCATTGCCAAATATGAAATCTACTGTGCCGTAAATGTCGCATTCTCGGTAGAATTGTCTTAGAGAATGGACGTAGAGAGTATCTTGATAGCCCTCGAAGCTGCAGCGGTAGAATGTTGAGAGATCTGCACTGCTCCTTAGTGCTACTGCTTGGTGCTTCTCCGGCCCTGCTGTGTTCCTAAATGTCACATCTATTGCTACAAATCTATCCCCACAAACAGCTGCAAGCACATAGCACATAAAATCCAAGCATTAAACTAAGATTTATATATCAAACTGTGGAAAACTAACATGATACACGGGAACAGCACCGAACGGGTCGAGGAATGGGAGGGAGTGGTGAGAGATCTCTTCCTATTAGCTAAACAAGGCTGGGAGTCCCCATCAACTATCTTGGACCGCCACCGTGAGGATGATGTATGAATAGGAAGTGAGGACAGAGACGGAGCATGCTTATGTAAGAACCCAAGTTCATCGCTAGCAAATATTGTCCTCTTTAGGCTTTCCCTCAAAGTTTTTAAAATGCGTCTGGTAGAGAAATGTTTCCACTCTTATAAGGAATGTTTCGTTCTCCTCCCCAACCGATGTGGAATCTCACAATCCACCCCCCTTCGATCCCCAACGTCCTCGCTGACATTCATTCCCTTCTCCAATCGATGTAGGACACCCCAATCCACCACCCTTCGGAACCCAGCGTCATTCTTGGCACACCACCTCGTGTCTACCCCCTTCCGGACTCAGCCTCCTCGTTGACACATCACCCAATGTCTAGCTCTGATACTATTAGTAATACCCCAATCCCACCACTAACAAATATGGTCTTCTTTGTACTTTCCCTCTCGAACTTCCCCTCAAGAGAGAAGTTTCCACACACTTATAAAAATGTTTCGGTCTCCTCCACAACTAATATGGGATCTCACAGCTTTCCCATCCTCGCCCTACCTTGTGGAGATCTCTACTTAGAATTCGGCGAAAATAAGTAGACGGATTATGAGTTTATGATTTACTTACTAAATGTAGAGGAATTATAAGTCGTCCAACCATCGACAACGCTATGATTCCCAGTGATGACGGTTCGGTTAATGCCATCGCCAATGAGCATTATGTTGGTTTTGTATTTGGGGACGACGACGTATTCTTCGTAGTATCCTCCTCTAACATAGATAACAAAGTAGCCATCTTGAGGCATTGAATTGTTGGGAGCAAAGGCAATAGCATCTCCAATTGAGGTGAAGTTGTCTGCACCAGTAGAGCTAACAACCACAGTATCGTTGATGAAGATTCCTGTGGTGCCTAAATCAGCCAACAAACGCTTCCTTCCTGAGCAGCCTGTGGATTGGTTGCATGAACCCATTTTATGTAGTCCCTGATGCAAACTTAACCCATTAAGCCTATAGTTTCTTAAAGAATCAGCCAACAAATTTAGTAAGTGCAAGCAATTTCTAGTCACCCTATTCCATCTGTTATGACATAGTTCCATTATATCAACTACTTCAAATATGTCCCTTTTAAATTTCAAGAACCAAATGTATAGGTAAGAATAAAACAATTAGAATAAGTTAAGCTAAGTTAATAAAATTATCCTTAAAAAGTTTTAATAACACTCTTCAATTCTCGAAAAAAAATACCCTCCCGTGACACCAAGCTTATCAACATCTTTATATCGGTCCCGAAAAACATAAATAAATAAACAAAAACAAATATAATCAATCTAATATCCTAATTAAGGGAGATCAGCAATTAATTAAATACAGATTAAGCTAAATTTGTGCATAATTTATATATTATATTCCACCCCTCTTGTGATAATTTTCCTCCATATTTAAATTATTTTGGTTGGTGGATATTAAATTCCATTAATATTTGCACATGCCTCTGTTTTTTGCCCCTAATTTCACATGTTGATTAATAGTATTAAGAGAGATAAGTATACAGCTCCGCCAAAAAGCCAAAACAGGATAAAGTTAATAAATAAAATTAATGTATAGTTTTTACATTATATAATTATGTACCACTTCCCAAGTCCTAACTCCTAGAAATAATATCTACCCACAATTTAATTTCATATGGTTGGAGGAAATTTAATACAATTAATATTTTAATATAAACAATTGGTTTTTGCCCCATTAATATCCCTTTGAGGGGGGAGAATGATAAGATCATGGGAGAGTTGGATCCACTTTAAAACATTAATTACAAAGATCCACTCCCCATCTTATGAAGTATACATTTTAAAAAAATAATAAAAAATTAATTTTAAGATTTATTGAAAGTACTTAAATTAAATTTAAATACATTTTTATGGATTAAAATAATTTTCGGTATAATCAAAGAAATTTAAATTTTAATATTTAATATTATGTGTGAGTTTAGAAATCTTTTAGAATTTTTAATTTTGTGTGTAATTAAATTTATTTTACTAATTTATTATATACATTTTACAAAATTAAAAAAAAAAAACTATTTAATACAAAATAGATACAATTAAAAATTTAAAATTTAATCAGATATTTTTAAATTTTTTCTCTATTTAACTTTTTTTTTTCTTAGTTCAACAATTTATTTCCTAAATCATATTTATCCGATAGAAGCATGAGTATGAGTGTAATTACATCTTTACCCCTACTTTGATCCAAATTATCCTCTCATCTTTCTATTGTAATATTTTAAAAAATAATAATAATAAATTACAAATTTGATCCTGTAATTTAAAAAAAATAAAATTGAAGTATATATAATTTTAAAAATTAGAATAATGTCCCTTTAGTATGATAAAATCTCATCAATAGACTCAATGTAGTAAACGTTAATATTTTTCAAACTATTTATTAAATTTTATCAAACAATTGGGGTAAAACTGTAATTTTGCAAATGGTAGGGACTAGATTTTTAGTTTTTTTTTTTTAAACAAAAAAATTATTTTCCCCCAATTTTTGTTTTATGCATTGAATAAAGCAAATGAAAAGTTCCGTGTAACTGAACGAACAGACAAACAGCGTAATTCGTACCTTGATCAGCGTGTTCAGAGGCTCTCTGTTCCGTGCGCCTGCCGCGGAATCCCCTCCGTCTCCCTTCATCCGCCGCTTCTTCCACAGTCGCGACAACGAGTTTGTAACCAATCCCAACGACACACTGTACAGTTGCCCGGCGCTCGACATCGGCGCCGTTAGCGCATTCCCCAAACTACTCCTCGATTCCACCAATCCGTCTATACAAGTCTGGCCGTTCGTGACGATCGCGCTCAAAATACTCTGAACGCGCTCCACTAGTTCCTCATCCACGCCCTTCGCCGCCTCCAATACGCTCTCAATCGACCGGAGAAACTCCACATTGGAATCGGAAAGATCTCTGCAATCTTCCAGAGCGCCGGCCTCCCGCTGATTCAGCCTCGAATCGCCTCCTCGATCGAGATAGTCGCCGATTACGCTCGACATTTTGATCGCCTGTTTGAGGCAGTTCTTGACGGAGAATTTCCCGTAGCCGTAGGGATCGGAGGGAGAGAATCGGATTGAGGAGAGAATGGAGCGGCAGAGCTTAGGGTAGAGAGTGGATTTACAGAGGTCGGCTGATGGTGGTGGTGGTGGAGGAGAATCGAAAGCTCCGGCGCGGCGGAGAGAGAGAAGAAGAAGGAAAATGAGAACTGAGTTCATAATTTATTCAACTCGGTGAGTGAAGAAAGGGGAGGGGGTTTATATAGAGGGCGGGAGAAAGAAGGACAAGGTAATAGAAATTAAAATATTTTACAAAATAAATATATTTTCTCTCTTTTTCAATGTAAAAATAAAATAATTTATTTGTCTAATCTTAAAATTTTATTGAATTTCCATTTTTTTTTTGTCTTTTAATTTTTTTAAAAAATTATTTTGATATTTAAATTATTTGTTTGAAAATTAATAATTGTATCAATAAAAATTAATTCATACTCATAAACTTTAAAATTATATCAATAAAAATTCTAAATATATCCATTTACAAAAAAAAAAAAAAAAAAAAAAAAAAAAAAAAAAAAAAAAAAAAAAAAAAAAAAAAAAAAAATTAATTATATCAATTAACTTTCAAATAATTGACTATTTTTCGATGAACGATCTAAATTTTTTAAAAAATCTATACACGTGTAAGAATTGATAATACAAAGGATTTTCAAATTAAGAATCTAAATTGATTCATTTGTAGCCGGTTAGGTATTTAATTGAAAGAATTATAAGTTTGTCTGGACGTGTTCGGGATGTCCCAAATAACCCACGAATGACAAGTGTTTTTCCTTGTGTGATCTTATTTCAGTGGAAACTTGATGAGTTGATCCACACATCTTGCCTTTACTACTATATCCGGAGTTACTTCACACTTATATTGCTCTCCCACAGTCCCGTTTTCACGGTTTAGACTGCACCCATTTCGAAATCTAACCTATGATATAAATATTAATACACGAAAATTTAGGATTTTTATTTACTACAAATTTTAAAATAAGTATAATATATATAATATATATAATATATTTTATATTATAGAAATTAATTTAATTGAAATAAAGAAAATATCTGTACATCAACAAGTTGAAGAAATAAGTTCATATATTAAATGGTTTTCATTATTTAGTACTTTTGGGTAAAATTATTGAGCCAATAATGTAAAATTGAATAATTAATTAGACAAAAAGGGCTGAATTATTTCCTTTTTTATAATATTATTTGATTTCTATAATGATGAGTATTTAATAGTTGGCTTTATAATAGAATTGGCTTTGCGCTCGAGAAAAGTTAGATTGACCTGGGTTATGTCGAGGGTGAAATCTATTTCTTTAAGCTCAACGTCGACGCTTCCTACTACTCAACATAGATTGGACAGGATTGAGTGAGTGAGTGATTCGTGATGCCCACAAGAGTGTTGTGGTGGCAATGGCCGTGTGGATGTGTTATTTGGTAGCGGCTCTAGTCCTAGCCCTTCTAATGGTTCGTCACAATGGTATGATATTGTCCACTTTGAACATAAGCTTTCATGGCTTTGCTTTGGGCATCCCAAAAGGCCTCATACCAATGGAGAGTATATTCTTAGATTATAAGTCCATGATCATTCCCTAAATTAACCAATGTGGGACACTTTCATCTAACACCTCCCCTCGAACAAAGTACGTCTCCCCTTAATCGAGGCTCGATCCCTTTTTTCTTTTTGGAGTCCTTTGTTCGACCTTCGAGGATTTGCCAATCTATTGGCACGACTAAGTTTAAGTTTAGGGCATAGCTCTGATACCATGTTAGACGAACACGACTCTCCACAATGATATGATATTGTCCACTTTGAACATAAGCTCTCACGGCTTTGCTTTGGGCTTTCCAAAAGGGCTCATACCAATGAAGAGTATATTCTTAGATTATAAGCCCATGATCATTCCCTAAATTAACCAATATGAGACACTTTCATCTAACACAGTCAAATGTTACGTCTCGTACTTTTTGGATTAGAGGTGTGTCGTCTAGTGGGCTATCTGGACCAAAGGTTGATGTTTGGTCTAGGTAAGCAAGCATGGACAGGCCGTTTTACTTGTTCGATTTTCCTAGGTTTTTTCGTTAAAAAATATGTTGGTGACAAAAATCCTTGAGAAAAGTAAAGCTCTTTCTAGCTGCAAACTTAAGTAAACAAATTTAAAACAAAAAACACCTAAGCAAATCTCCAACATTTTTTTTGTCCCTCCCTCTCTAAATCATACCTGAAAAAAAAGGAAGAAACTTATAAGATACTCTTCAACAAAACCCAACAATCTCATCTTTTTCGCACGAAACCGAGTTGGTTATTATCGACGAAGACGATGGCGAAGGAGCATTGTTCATCTCCATCTTCCCAACATTAAGATCTTCTTTACTATCACCACCCTCAATGCTCGTTTCGAACATCAAGCCAATGTCGTCTTCAAATCCGATCTCATCAAAGTAGAGATCAGCTAATTCACTCGTTTTCTCAAGCGGGAGGTCAGGCACCTCGACAAATCCGGTGTCTAAGAAAGACCAATGGAGATCATGATCGTCTCCCATGACACCCATTGACGGGCTATTCTCGATCGATGGAAGCATCGTCGAGAATTGAAGGCTCGGCCATGACTTCGTTTGCTGTTCTTCGGGCTGATACACAACTTCTCCCTCGGAAGAAACAGGGGAGTCATTGGGCTCTTCTTTTGGTTGCTCAGCTGCTTCAAAAACTGATGATTTGGTCTCTAATCTCCTCCCAATGTAATTGCTAATGTCAAAGTTGGTAACTGCATTGGGTCCTCTGTATTCAATTGCAGCCATGTCATATGCTGCAGCTGCTTCTTCTTGTGTGTCTAATCATAATAATAATAAAATGTGATTAAACTAAGCTTAAGTAAGAAGATTAATTTAATTACTTCATTAAATGGGATTAAAGAAGTTTAAATGCGGTTTGGTTTGGGAGGATTTTGATAAGAAATCACGTGACCATGATACTTTTTTTAATCTAAATTAATTAATTAATTACAAACGTATCAGAAAAACAGATCATATTCTCTCCATTTCTCAGTAAATAACAGTTTATTCATGGAAGTGAAATATATATATAATATATTATATAAAGAAAATAAATTAAAAAATAATTTTAAAAAAGTCAAAATATTGAAAGCAGGAATACAGATCAACTGGTTCTGTTGTCTCTAAGACCATAAGAATTTCCCGTGATTTAAAAAAAAAAAAAAAGAAACTAATATAAACCAAAAAATAAATAATTTTAAAAAATGGCACGTGACACATACTGCTTTTCCGTTACTTTTGGAAAGCTGTGGACGAAAAGTTCTGTTTTATTCGATTTTTTTAATAGGGCCAGCAGAGAAGGATCACGTGCCGTACAACCCCCCCCGAGCCCCCAAATTATTTACCCACGTGGACCACTCGTGGCTTAAAATTGCTTTTAATAATTGAAAAAGGATTAAAAATTAGAATCCACTGAGATATATTATTTAAAAAATATATATATATATATATATATATATATTTAATTAATATATTTTTTAAAAAAAAATTACCCACCTCATTTTTCTATGCCCAGTAGCTAACCAATTAACAAAAAACCCTAATAATTTTAAACATTTCGTAACCAATTATTAGGAGAAATTCAATTTAAAAAAAAGAGTAAGAATTGGTCGGTCTGAGACAAGTAAGAAGGACGGTGCCACGTTAGCTGACAGAGTAGTCCACGTAGTTATAAGTAGGCGTCAGCTAATACTAAAATCCACGTGGGGTTGCCACGTGGAGTTTGAAAAAGTAGAGAGAATGAGAGGGAGAGAGAAAACGTACTGTAGGTTCCCAAGTAAAGATATTTGCTTCCAAAAACGCGGCCAATCCGAGCCTCCCACCGGCCATTGTAGTGGTGTCGGGCCACGCCGCGGTACTTAGAAACGCCTCTAGAAAATCCACTGCTCCGCCGCCGCAACGACGCCAAATATTCTTCCTTCGTTACTTTCCGCATTTCTTCCATTTCATTCGTGTACGACTCTGCCTGCATTTTTTGCCCCCACATTTAATATTTAATTCACATGTTTAAATAACTAAAAAAGGAAAATTCCACATTTTTAAATTGACCTCTTTAAATTGCCGTCCTTATTATATTCCGTCCATTATTATTTTTTATTTTTTTACAATATGCTTCGAATTAAATTACGAAATTGGGAAATTTAATGAGATAAAATGAATAAAAAAACAGAAAATAAAAAGTGAAATGTCAGTTTTAGCCTTGAAGATTAGAAGTACCGGGAAATTGAGAGTGGTTTCCGGTCCCCAGTACTTGAGGGCAGCGAGGTCATAAGTTCGCGCTGCAGCTTCCTCGTTATCATACGCTCCTGCAAAAAAAAAAAAAAAAAATCAACTAGTTGTTTGAAACACGAATTTGGGATTCGAGTGAAATCGAGTTCTAAATCTAAGCTCGGTTGTCGGGTGAAGGTACGAAATCCCTCAAACCCATCGTTTCTCTTGGAATTCAACTAATTTTGTACTTCAAACACATATTTTAGAATAGTTCGGTATTTTTTATTCCTATTTTAAAATTTAAAGATTTTCGATCTAAATTAGTGCCTTAAACCTCCCTAAATTTTTAACTCTAAGCTCGTTTGTCGGATTTAAGTACCAAATTCCCTCTAAACTAATAGTTTCATCAACTAACTCTTTACTCTAAACACATATTTTAAAATAGTTAAATATCTTTTATTCATGATTTTAAGTCCTAAGATTTTCGATTCCAAACTAGTGCTCCAAACGTCTCTAAGCTCGTTTGTCGAATTTAAGTACCGAACTCCCTCTAAACTAATATTCCTATTTAACAATTCCAAGATTCCGATTCCGAACTAGTATCTAAACGTCCCAAAATTTTTAACTATAAGCTCGTTTGTTGAGATTAAGTACCCAACTCCCTCTAAACCCATAATTTCTCTCGAAATTCAGTGAATTCTATACTCTAAACACAAATTTTAAAATAGTTCGGAGTTTTTTTTATTTCTGTTTAACAATTCTATGGCTTTCGATTTCAGATTAGTGCCCTAAACGTCACTAAATTTTAAACTCAGAAGAATAAGACACCACTATTATCCTGACACGTGTCCAGAAATATATGTAATTTTAAAAATAGTGAGAGCTTACCCAAATAAACTGAGCAGCGATATGAACGTTGGCGACGACAGGGGAGGTCCCAATACACAGTCAGCAAAACAAAATCAGGGCTTGATTATATATAATTATATAAAAATAAAAATTAACCGAATAAACAAATAATTTTTTAGATCTCTATTTAATTAATTAATTAATTAATTTGTATTTTTTTTTTTTTTTTTTTTTTTTTTTTTTTTTTTTTTTTTTTTTTTTTTTTTTTTTTTTACCTTGCCTTCCTTTTTTGTTCTGAATGCTATTCCATGAACTCTTGTCCCAAAGATGAGCTTCGAACCGGCCGGTCCATCGATGCCTGAGATTTCGATTCGGAACAGCGATTTCTCAATCTCAATTCAACATGCAAATCGAAAACACAAATCAAATTGAAAAAGAAAAAAAATGAGAAGGAAAAAACCTCGTGACTCCTCTGTAAATGGAACTCCGGCGAGTGGAAGATGCGTTGTTGTTGTTGTTGTTGATTCCACTGCTGTTGTTATTATGAATCTCGCGTTTCGATTCGTCCTGATTCCTCCGTCGCCGCTTGATTCTGGCTTTGTCCGAGTGCGGCCGGAGAGGAGCGGAGAGATTCTTCTTCTTCTTCTTAATATTAATGGCGGAATCTGAACCGACGCAAGAGGAGGAAGACGAAGAGCAAGAAGAAGCAGAGGGAGAGATACTCATGGCAGCAGACGGCGGAGAGATTTCCGATTTCCGATTTCCGATTGCGATTCAAGAGAAGGAAAGGAGTGAAGAAATGCAGTAAGAAAATGGCGATGGAGTTGGATTGGATTGAACAGTGAGGGACATTTTGAGGAGAGTTTTGGTAACCTAAAGTGAAGCAGGGGGGAAGTTAAAGAAGAGGAAGAAGAAGAAGCAGAAGGTAACCAGGGTTAGAATAATGAGAGTTAATTAACCAGGTGAGTTATGAGACTGCCAAACATTTGGCTATAGGGGCAGCCATGCTACCAATCATATTCCTTCTATTTGCTGCCTTTCCAAATTTGATTTCGTGTTTCTTTTACTATTTGTTATAAAAACAAATTAACAAAGTGATTGCTAAATATTATTTTTATTCATAAATATTCCAATTTAATCGTTTTTAATTTCATCTCTTTATAATTATACTACTTTCTTGCTCGGTCAGTCTCAACCTGAAATTTTAGATTATCTGGGTTGATGATTCGAGCAACTCGAATAGAGTTAATAATGCAACTCAACTCACTAACTGACTCACTCAATTCAACTCAATGTTTCAAAAGTTAATCCAATCGAGACTGAAAAAAGCTGATCTAACTTAACTTTTATGGCTTTGGATGATTAGTTGAAATGGGTCGTAGTTTTCAAATAATTTTATATTAATAAATGTATATTTATAAATTTCGCTTTTATTTTATTTATTAATTTTTTAATTAAATACAAATAATTTAAGATTATCCAAACAATTTTTGTTTTTTTGTTGAGAATAAAAGGTTATGGGAAATGCAAATGCCGACGGAGATGGAACGGTCGGTTTGATTCTACCAACGACAAACCGGAAGTTATGCCGACGGTTCAACCGAACCGTCGGCAATTCACTTGGCCTTAGCCGGTTTTTTGCCCTAAAATTAAAATTACCCTACGCGACCCCTCCAGGCTCTCTTCCCGTGCCTCTTCTTTCTTCCCTTCGAGCCACCGTCCTAGCCCTCTCCTGCAGCTCCGCCGCCGTCGATCGACCACCTCGCATCGCCGGTCGCTTGCCTCGCCGCGCGCCTACCTATTTGTTCCTTCGTCATTGGCCACCCGCACGGCCTCTAACCACTTCTTCCTTCGCTGTGAGTTCTTTTTCTTCTTGCAAATCTTATTACTTCGGAGAGTGCTTGCTATTTCTATATAATATAGTCTATATGTGTCTTGTTTGGAATTTGAGTATCTGAAATGATTATTCAGTTTACAGCATTGAAGATTCTTTTGTGTTTTTTCCTATCGAAAATCTCCCGTGTGTGGGGTTTCTCTGTTTTGGAGTATTAAAACCATAATGTCGTCTATGCTTGTATATCTCTCACTCTATGATTTGTGTTTATACGCCACTTGCAATGCTACAAATCTATGTATATTTTGAGCTCATGGAGGAAGTGGATTTGCAATTTATCACATGTAGAGTGGACAGCCAAGCTAGCGGTTCTAGTTTAGCTTCAAATATATGTATATGTATTTGGTCTATTTGTACTTTATAACTTATTTTTAGTTGTTTTGTGATGTTGCTTATGAATTCGTGGGTATTGAATAGATCTGAACTAGATGATAACCCAATAAATTGGTCTCAAACCTTACAATTCTTATGTTTTAGAATTTGATTCTGTTTTGAAGTGCTGGAACTGAGTTTAAGGTAAATTTTGGGTTGATTTCAGTGGTGATTTCTTGCTTGAGGTGAGAATTTTACCCTTTCTTTCTCTATTAGCTGAATTTTTTAATTTTTGTTCTTGCTCGAGCCCACCGCTAGCAGATATTGTCCTTTTTGGGTTTTCCCTTTCGGGCTTCCTTTCAAGGTTTTAAAACGCATCTCCTAGAGAGAGGATTCCACACTCTTATAAAGAATATTTAGTTCTCCTCCCCAACCGACGTGGGATCTCACAATCCATCCTCATTCGGGGCCTAGCTCCTCGTTGGCACTCGTTCCCTTCTCCAAATGTTGTGAGACCCCCCAATCCATCCAGCACCTCGTATCCACCCCCTTTGGGGCTCAGCCTCCTTGTTGGCATATCGCTCGGTGTTTGACTCTGATATCATTTGTAACGGCCCAAGCCCACAACTAGCAAATATTGTCTTTTTTGGGCATTGGAGATCCCACATCAATTGGAGAGGAGAACAAAATATTATTTATAAGGGTGTGGAAATTCTCTCTAGCAAACACGTTTTACAACCTTGAGAGGAAGCCTGGAGGGGATAGCCCAAAGAGGACAATATCTGTTAGCGGTGGGTTTAGGTCGTTACACTTGGACTCATAGGTGGTTAGAATTTCCTGTTCAGTGGATTAGGGCATGCTTATACTTGAAGCTTGTTGTTGTGCGTACTTGCTATCCTGCAGTTATGGTAGCTGATGATTTGAGTATAGGGGTCTGTTCATTGGATGAGTTTGGTTGTCAATGCTTGAAATTTTGAGTTTACCTTCTTAAATTTGGATAAGTTAAGTTATGAGCTTTGCGTTTATTTGGCTTGTTCGAGTGTTTAAGGTCGGTTAACTTTGATGCCAAATCTATTATGTTTTGTAACTTTGATTACTTCGTAAAGTTAGTTCAAATTGATTGTTTTTGTTTATTACGGTGATGTTATGCTCGTAACGTTTTGTTCGTTGTAATTGTTTTTAAAGTGCTTATTTAAATTTAATGAAGTATTGACTTTGTTTTCTTAGGTGGGTCGTGTCAGGTTGGGTCGATATTATTTTCGAAAGCTACTTTTGGAGAACATAACATGAAGACAACAATATCCGAAGATGTTGACACCATTTTTGTTAGCTTGCATATCTAGTAAATGTCACACCGCTCCCTACTGGTGGCAATGGTAAACACAAATAAGGTTGTGTCGATGTTGTTTTGACAGCTTTTCGTGCGTTGAGAAAATCCTTTTATGATGCTTTTCCGACCTTTTTCGACACTTCTTTTGGCATCTGAAAAAAGAAATCCAATATTATTGTTAACTAAATATGTTACAGTTAATTCAAAGTTACCTCCTTTTTTTAAATCAAGTCTGATATTATAAATCCAAGATTGGACTCTTAAGGTCTCGAGGCTTATTCTCATACATATTCTTATTATAAAAAAATAAACATTAGCTTTTAAATTTTATTTTTCTTCCTTTATTAAAAATATTAAAATTATCTAAATAATTATTAAAAAATTATTGAATGGGTATGCGTATTGCAATAAAATATTTGGAATTCAGTGTAGGGTAGTTGAATTAAATGTTAATTATTTATAGTTAGAGATGTGAATTAAATGTGTGAAAATTAAATTCTTTGCTTGAATATAATTTTTTTTTTAAAATATAATCTACTCGATAAGTCACTTTCATTAATATTTTAAATAATATATTTTTCTTATTCAAAACAAAACTTTGAATAAATGATTGGTTTCCGTCTATGAGAGATCTCACATTCATGAGAGAGTTTATGAGAGATCTCACGTCCATGAGAGAGTCGATGAGAGATCTCACATTTATGAGAGAGTCGATGAGAGATCTCACATTCGAGAGGGAAATAAAGTATTTTTTATAAGAAATGTGAAAACCTCTTCCTTAAAATATGAAAGAAAATGACCATATTTGTTATATGAGAAAACCCAAAAATGACAATATCTAATAGCATACGCTTGGGCGGGCTGATGTATAGTCCTACCCAAAAAAAACCTACTTAAGTGCAAGTTGATTTTTTTTTAATTTTTAATTTTTTTTGTATTTTTTGGTATTTTTTCACCTGATGTCACCACTTTTATTTTGTAAATTAAATTCAATGCAGCTGAAAAATTGGAAATAAGATAAATAATATTTAAAAAAAAGCCAGATTTTTTCCACTGCTATTCATCAGAATTGTCATCAGCATATCTACCATTACCATGATCCTGATGACCTATGGACTTAGTTTTAAATTTTGACAATCTACTTGAAGGTTTAGAGGGTTTCTTCACCTTTTCGGCTTGCAACTCAAGTCCTTTCTCCGATGGTTTCCGTCTTCTTTTCGCTCGGGTTCCTCCAGCATCATCGGGGTTATCCAACACTGCAAAACAAAGGACTACTTGTTGAACGATGAAGATTAAGCGAACCGAACATAGATACCGTTAATTCACACTGTTCAAAGATACACATTTTATGTAAGGTTGGAGAGGAAGATTCGTTCGATCGAGCCAATGTACATTAAGCTAAGGCTACAGGAAAGTTTTTGGAGCTTGCATTACAATATGTGATGAAAGATGAATACTCCTACAGTGTACAAGAAGATTCAACAGTCGAAGTATGGCTACAGAGAAAGATTGCTAACAGTGAAAGATGGTTTTGGCAGAAAGGACCTCTTACCAGCCGAAGTAGCTAAACAAAGACTTCTTAAGATTGTGTCCTTAGTTTTCCGCTTTTTCCGACATATAAGGGCACGGGTCAATCTGAGCATAGTTCATGGAATAAGGTGTCGGTTACCATTCTAAAGACTTATGGTTCGATCCCCTACTCCTACAATTTTCAATCCAACATATAAGTTGTAACAACCCAAACTCACCGCTAGCAGATATTGTCAGCTTTGGCACATTACATATCGCTGTCAACCTCGTGATTTTAAAATGTGTCTACATGGAAAGGTTTTCACACCCTTATAAAGAATGCTTCGTTCGCCTCTCCAACCGATGTAGGATCTTCTAATCCAACCCCCTTGGGGCCCAACGTCCTCGCTGGCACACCACCCGTATCTGGCTCTGATATCATTTGTAACAGCCCAAACCCGTTGCTAACAGATATTGTCCGCTTTAGCCCATTACATATCGTGTCAGCCTCACAGTTTTAAAATGCGTCTACTAGGGAGAGATTTCCACACCCCTATAAGGAATATTTTGTTCCCCTCTCCAACCAATGTGAGATCTCACAATTCACCCCCCTTAGGGGCCCAGCGTCCTCGCTGGCACACCGCCCGATGTTTGACTCTGATACCATTTGTAACCGCCCAAGCCAACTCCTAATAGATATTGTTTGCTTTGGCCCATTACGTATCGTCATCGGCCTAACGGTTTTAAAACGTATCTAAGAAGTTTTCACACCCTTATAATGAATGTTTCGTTCCCCTCTCCAACCGATGTGGTATCTCACATGCTATGACATCTTTTTCGGTTCTAGATTCCGATATACCACGATTTTTGTTAAATGTAGCTGTGAGATGTTTCACACTTGAGCCATGTGCATTTGCTTGAGTAACTGAACTGGGTAATGGCTTCATGCTAAGTCATCACTAAGTAATGAACCTAGTTAATAAGGAATCTGAGCCTAAGGGTTCTTTTCGTAGGGTAGGAAAGAAAGCAAGACATGAAAATGGTATCAGCAGCAACTGAGCAATTGAAATGTTACCTTCCAAAGGACTTGATGCATGATTGGTTGTACGACCATTTACAGCAGCCTCCTCGGATAGCGGGGATCCGGAATTGTCATCATCGATCATTTTTGAAGAAATTTCTACGCACTTGTCGTGCTGCTCGACAATGTCAGGACATGGGATTGCTGGCAAGAAGCATAGTTCATCCTGTGAAGCATCTGAATCACTGAAAGCTGAATCCTTCTCGACATTTACGATATCAACTTCTTCGTCTTCGTTGACATCAAGTTCTTTCACCTGAAACAACAAATATGTCATATGACTAGAAAAGCAAACTAAGACTCAACGAAAACAACAATTATTACCTTTTCGGTTTCGGGATTCAGATCAAATTCGTCTTCTCGTTCTACGTATTCTTCATTTTCCTCGAGCTCTTTGAAATCAGGAGCAAAAGCACTCCAATTCTCAGTATAATCTTTAGCCCAAATATAAATCAAGCCAGTCAGAGAAACTGAGACGACAATGGGATGAACGGGATGCCAGCTTAAATCAATCAATGCTTCCTTTGGACCTTCGAGGATCTTTACGAGATAACCTGCCCTATCCCAAATGTAAATCTTGTGTTCGCCTTTGCTCGCAGAACCTCCAACGACCCACTCACCGTCACCACTAAAGCAAGGTGCTTTCCAGTGCATTCTAGTGATCGAATCTTGAAACTCACGGAAAAGAGTTAAACACTTCGTTCCAACAGCCTTCAGCTTCTCAGCACCATCGAGCTCATCAAGCTCTTTCATAATCTCATCAATGAATTTTAATCCATCTTTGTTAGGCAGGAGATTTTCATAGATTCTAATCGTTCTGTCATTAGAATTAGTGAGCAGATATTGACCATTTCGGCTAAATACTATGTTCTTGACAACAGCACCTCCAGAAATTGGAACCATGGCCTCTATCCGAACTCTTTCATAATCTATTACAAGTATTTCACCTTTCGAATTCCCGACATAAACTAGGTCACCGTATTTATTAAAGCAAGCTGCCGTAGGAGTGAACGGCTGAGTTCCATCTAATACTTTGCCACGAGAAGAAGCTGTATCGGTATCAGAAATACAAACTGGAAGTAGGATCGTGTCTCCCGTCTTTAAGTCGACAATCATAGGAGCAGATGAGAGAGGGCATGCCAAGCAGAGAGATGGACTAGACGAGCCAGGATGCAACCGAGCCTGTAAAGGGGTCTGCTGCAGAGTTATGCGGTTTATCTTCTCCCCCTTGAGAACATCCCACAGTGTTAATGACCTATCAGCAGCAGATACAAGAATTTGATGGCCATATTTTGACCAACAGACACTAGTTATTGCAGAAACGCAATCTTTATCTTTAAGCTCCTTAGCGATGCCTCTGGTCTCGAAATCCCAGATAACACAGCTGCCATCGGAGCATCCAGCTGCCAACGATATCACGAAAGCATTAATATTTATACTCGGTATTGCCTAAATGGCTACCATACAGCAAGAAAGTTTAGTAATCAACATCAGTGCATGCAATGGTCCAAGCCCACCACTAGCCGATATTGTCCTCTTTGGATTTTTTCCTTTTAGGCTTCCCCTCAAGGTTTTGGACAATATCGGCTAGTAGTGAACTTAAGCCTTAAGCTATTACACACAGAGTAAAGCTGCATATGTTTATATGAGCTCAATCAAGAAAAACAACACGGAGTAATGCATACGTATACGGTATACCCAATATAAATCAAGCATATTCAACCTCGTCTTAAAGAATTTCACCCTTTTCCCCCTCCAACTAATCATCCAATCATAACAACATTTTCCACCAATACATAGCGACAAGTGATAACCCACCGAATGGAAGTGTTTGGTCATGCTACCTCAAGAAGCAGAGACTTCTAAAATGGGTCTCTTTACATCCCGTGGCTTCCAGCATTAAAAAAACCGCTTCATGTCGAACCATCAACAATCGATACAAGGAATTTAGAACTACGTAAAATAAACATCTATACGTGCAGCTTTCAGTCAATGTATAAAGGCATTTCTCCTTGTTTCCTAATTCTCAAACATCGAAGCCACTTTCTATATTTTTGGCTCCATCTATCTTGAGCTTGTGTTATGTTTTTGTTCTTTCATTTATCTTAACGATCTTCACGCAGAAACGCAAGTAAAAACATGAAAACCTAACTAAGCTAAGGAGATTACAATTTAATTCATAATCTTGGGCCAATGGAACACTCTAAAACAATGTTGGGTTGTTTATGGCACAAGAACTTGGTTCAGATGGTGCTGTGAAGATACTGAGTTAATGCGTGACTCGATTGGTGAAATCTCTCTTCAAAAAAGCACTTTTTTTTTTTTTTTTACGGCCACACAAAGAAAATATTTTGTTGCAAATGAACACGACGTCAAGAAATCACCACACAACACATGAACACATGAACATATGAACTCATTCCTGCTCGCAGGCATAAAAAACCACTATTTTTCGTCACAAACTTCCAACTAAATGAAGATATGAACTCATCAAGAACAATAACTTCAGCTATTAACAGTAAATCACGAACTGAAACATGCCAATTCACATATAATCAAAGGCAGCCATGGATACCTGCTAGAAGAGTACCGCGACGATTAAACGCGATGCATTTCATTACACCATGTTCCAAGAACTCTTCGATAACCTCGGGGAAATCTCCCTGCAGTGGATCTTCGCAAAAGAAAGAAATGAAATAAGAACAGAGAAAAATACCTAAAATGGAGAATTTTGGTTTGAAATTAGGGCGAGAAAGAGGGAGAGAAAGAGCAGAAACTCACCGATTATTGGAGCATTCATGGCCGCTTGCGGCTGAAGGCGCCAGAACTGAAAATCGCTTCCGCCGAAGTGAAGTGAGGTTGGGATTTGCGCGCTATGTTGAAGAACAAAACAAGGGCATGGAGGGAACTTCCGGCGCCAAAAACCCTTCAATTTATAGAGCTTTCTCGTTCAAAAGTTCTTTCTTTTTTCTCAATTTTCTTCGGCAACTGCTTCAAATCATTCAAATTCCAACAGAAATAATGAAATCAATCCAACTTTTATCGCCATCATCAGAGGCATTCCTACGTTGAATTCAGTCAAGTTCGTGAAAAATATTTTTATTTATAAAATATTATTAAATAATATTTATTTTTATGATTAAATATTATTAAATTTATTGAACTTCCTTGCGAAGCTGGAGACAAAAGATCTTATTTCTAATTAAAGATAATATTTTTGTTCATCATATATTATTAAATTTATCGTGATGTTTTATATTTTTTAATATAAAATTATTGTGATAATATTTTTACTTATGAAATATTATTAAATAATATTTTTACGGATAAATATTAATAAATTTCTTGCAATGTTTTATATTTTTTAATATAAAATTACCATAAGCGAATATTTTTCACTTTATTCACGCTTCGATAGCAACAACCTGCAGGTTCGAGAGGCCTCCTTGTGAAGCTCGAGAGAAAAATAATATTTTTGTTCATAAAATATTTTCCGTGATGTTTTATATTTTTCAATACAAAATTATAATAATTTTGCTTATATTAAATTTATATTTTTTAATATAAAATTAGTGTGATAAAATGTTGGGCTTACAGAATATTATTAAATTTATGGTAATTTTGTATATTTTTTAATATAAAATTATTGAAAATGAAAATTATCTAATTTTGAGTGAAGATTTTTATATTAAAAATATACATGAAAAATAAGAAAAGAATTTTGATCAAACATTAGCTAAAATTAAATCGATAAAGAAATAGCTTTAATGTTTGAATAGGGCATGGTTAAAGTCCGTGATGAGCCGGAGCAAGGGCTCTATCATAGAGCGGAGGCGGAGTGCGAAGGCGGGAATTGCTTCCGGCGGTGGCGGTGCAGTTCAGAAAGCTCGTCGGGGAGTAGTAGTCGGTGGCGTGATGGAGCACTAGAACGTCCGCCATGTCTGAATCTTCTTTGTTAGAATGCATAATTTCAAACCACTTCGAAACTTCCTCCTAGTTTCATCGAAGAACATCGACTACAACCTACTGTGCAATTCCGGCTTCACTGCAGGGCCATATATACTGCCTCTACCATCTCCATCTTGTACCGATTCCTGTGCCCGGCGGGGTTTCTGTCGATACGCTGCGGGGAAATTCTTCGGCAATGAGTACGAGTGCGATATCGAGAACAATAAGGTGTTTGTTTCTTTTGTTTCTCTCTTGTTCATGTATTTTTTAGTTTCATGGAATAGAATTTTCGTAAACTGAAAGGTTTGACGTTGATATTAGAGAAATTAGCGTCTTCATTTCTCTTGCGTTTACTCCAGTTATACTGTTTAAGTAAGTAATTGATTCGTAGGTGATCCTCTAGAAGCAATAAAGCCCCCTGTAAAAATTTAGTAGCCCTTGGTTCACCGGGGATGAGATGGAGTGGTATCTGCATGTTTTTTTTGAGTTCAACAGCATGTGGGAGTGCTAGTTGAGCTATTCTTGGTGGTAAGAATTGTTTCAATTTTGGTGAGGAAGGAATGTTCTGTAACTTGTTGCAGCGAGGTCAAACTGAAAGTATTTGTGTAACTGCCCACGCTGGCTAGTATATTGTCCTCTTTGAGTTTTTCTTTAAGGGCTTTCCCTCAAGGTTTTAAAACGTGTATGTTAGGGAGAGGTTTCTAGGTTTCCACATCCTTATAAGGAATGTTTCGTTCCCCTTTCCAACCGATGTGGATCTCACAATCCACCCTTAGTGGGGCCAGGGTTCTCGTTGGCACACCGCTCGGTGTTTGGCTCTAATACCATTTATAATTCCCAAGCCCACCGCTAGCATATATTGTCCTCTTTAGTCTTTCTTTTTAAGGGCTTCTCCTCAAGGTTTTAAAACGCATCTGTTAGGGAGAGGTTTTCAGGTTTTCACACCCTTATAAGGAATGCTTCATTCCTCTCTCCAACCGATGTGGGATCTCACAATCCACCCCCTTGGGAGCCCAGCGTCCTCGCTTGCATACTGCTCGGTGTCTTGCTCTGATACCATTCTTTTTGGGCTTTCCCTTCAAGGGATTCCTCTCATGATTTTAAAACACGTCTGTTTGGGAAAGGTTTCTAGGTTTCTAGGTTTCCACACTCTTATAATAAATGTTTCATACCCTTCTCCAATCAACTTGGGATCTCACAATTTGAAAGTGAAATAGTGATGAGGGTCACTACTGAAGGAAAGAGCCTTATTTTCTTAACCAAGATTGTATCATTCAACGGTGAATCATTGCAGCCTTTTTAGCCAACAATGGTGTTCCATACCAACCAAATGTTGTCCAGTGAGAATTTTAAAGCCACTGCACTTGGATTTTACATTAGAACAGTTTTGTAAAATTGAGTAGTTTCGCTATTGGCAATCTTCTCGTCCTTATGCCTTTTATCGTTACCATTGGCATTGATGTCTTGAGATGACCAATACCCAAGGCCATGAATTGTGGCATAGTTGAGGGATTTATGGGAGAAAAAAGTTCCATCTTGCTCAATTGGGTTTTCTTTTGTTTGAGTAAGGGAGAAGTTTTTGTACTAAATTCCTAGTTTCATTGAACTGTCTTCATTCTGAAACGTAATAGAGACAAACAATCTTGTGATCTTGTTAAGCTTGCTATTGGCAAACAATCTTAAATTTCTTCTTATTTTCTTGGTATGCAAATTTTTTCCTACTTCTGTATTTTTAGCTGAGTTTGTAATATCTAGACATATTGTTTGATTTCAAAGGCATATTTTGAATAAATCTACTTTCCAGTTTTAGAAAGGTTAAGGCTGTTCAGTTCTGTGTCATTTCAGCTTCAAAACCAAGGCCTCGATATTCACCAAGAAGCCAAGCGCCACGTGCTTCCTGTTCAAGACGTGGTGTCGGGTGACAAATGCGAAGGAAGATTTGCTTATGGTGACAACAACAAAAGCAAATTCACAAATGCTGGCAGCTCTTCAGATAGCTCTCTACAAACCTTGTTAATGAGGGGAGGACATTCCCCTCCAATATACAATACCAAGCATCTTGCAACAGATGATTTTAGGCCACTTGTAGAATTTAACGATGTGCGATTCATCGATAAGCTCAAGATAAATAAGCAGCTTGCAGAGAGGGATGCTCGTATAGACACTCCCATCTGGTCGACATACACCTCTGACAATAATGTGGACCAAGTGAGTATTGTTGCAACCTTAGTGATGAATTGTACTCATTTGTTAGAATTGTCTCAAATTCATGCTCATATTTTAAGAACCAACATGTTGGAAAACTACCCTTCTTCATTTAGCTGGAACAACATTATTAGATCATATACTAGACTGGAGGCCCCAAGAAAAGCCCTCTCTGTATATATCGCCATGTTACGAGCAGGCGTCTTCCCTGATTCTTACACACTCCCAATTGTATTCAAGGCTCTATCACTAGTTTATGCTTTTGGTTTAGGATTACAATTGCATTCAGTTGCTATACGGCTTGGTCTTGAGTTTGACCAATATAGCGAAAGTGGCCTCATCAGTCTGTATTCGAAGTTAGGAGATCTCGAGTGTGCACGTAAGGTGTTCGAGAAAAATCATCACAGAAAGTTGGGTTCTTGGAATGCCATTATAGCTGGTTTATCTCAAGGTGGGCGTGCGAAAGAGGCAGTCGATATGTTCATTAAGTTAAGACGAAGCGGGCTCGAACCAGATGATGTCACAATTGTTAGTGTAACATCAGCTTGTGGCAGTCTAGGAGACCTAGAACTGTCTCTCCAAATGCACAAATTTGTTTTCCAAGTTAAAGTCATAGGAAAATCAGACATTTTGATGCTGAATTCCCTCATAGACATGTATGGAAAATGTGGTAGGATGGACTTAGCATTGAAAGTATTTTCGAACATGGATCATAGAAATGTATCATCCTGGACATCTCTGATTGTAGGTTATGCAATGCACGGACAGGTGAAACAAGCGCTCGAGAACTTCCGATGCATGAGAGAGGCAGGAGTTCCTCCTAATAACGTTACGTTCATCGGGGTGTTGAGCGCATGTGTACACGGTGGGATGGTCAAAGAGGGAAGACATTACTTTGAAATGATGAAATCTGTTTATGGCTACAAGCCCCAGCTGCCACATTATGGATGCATGGTCGATTTGCTCGGTAAAGCAGGGTTGCTAGAAGAGGCAAGAAGGATGATTGACGAGATGCCGATGAGGGCGAACTCGATAATATGGGGATGTTTGATCGGGGCATGTGAAAAACATGGGAATGTGGAGATGGGGGAGTGGGCAGCAAAGCATTTACAGGAATTGGAGCCATGGAATGATGGTGTGTATGTGGTTCTTTCAAATATTTATGCCTCTAATGGGCTTTGGAAAGAGGTGCATAAGGTGAGGGAGTTCATGAAACAGAGGCAGCTCGCTAAAGTTCCTGGTTATAGCTTGGCAACAAAATTGGATTGAAGTGTTTCTGTTGGATTTTGGTCATAATTTTTTACTGTTCTTCATAGTGATTCTTTGATAATAATTTTACAGGTTTTTCAGCTCTCCTTTTCTCAGTTTATGTCACGGCCACGGCCTAGATCACCGCCCGTAGATATTGGGCTTCCCCTTAAGGCTTTAAAACGCGTCTGTTAGGGGAAGGTTTTCATACTCTTATAAATAATGTTTTGTTCTCCTCTCGTGGGAACATCACAATCCACCCCCCTCGGGGCCTAGCGTCCTTGTTGGCACTCGTTCCTTTCTCTAATTGATGTGGGACCTCCACCAAATCCACCTCTTTTGGGGCCCAGCATCCTTACGGCACATCGCCTCGTGTCTACTCCCTTCGAGGAACAGAGAGAAAACTGGCATATCATCCGATGTCTGGCTCTGATACCATTTGTAACAGCCCAAACCACTGCGATCAGATATTGTCTTCTTTGAGCTCCTCAAGGCTTTAAAACATGTATGCTAGTGGAAGGTTTTCACACCTTATAAAAGTTGTTTTGTTCTCCTCCCCAAACAATGTGGGACATCACAGTTTTTGTGTAAATTATTGCCATTATTTTGACTCGGAAGACTGGTGCAGCAGTCGTGATCGTCCCAAGCTGATTAACTTTAGGTTAAATTATAAGGTTAGTCTATAAAGTTTTATCTTCGTGTATGATAGTTTCATGAATTTTAAAACACAAAGGAGGTTTAAAAGCTCACTTTTGTGACAAATGAGATTTTATTATTATTATTATTATTATTATTATTATTTTGTCTAAGTAAAATTGAAAATTTATGAATTTATTAAAAATATAAAATAAAAAATTAAGTTGAATTTTTTATTCATTTACTTGATTAGTCGTAAAATGTTTTAGATTAAATTAAATTATTTTGTGAATATTTGTAAATATGGAGATTAATCGATATTAAAAATAATTATTAATTAAATTAAATCAAATTCAAGTTAAGTTTAAATTTTAATCTTAATTATTGTGATAAAAAAATAGTTTATTCTAATTTAAAATTTTTTGTATTTGGATATATTATTATTATTATGTTTTTGTAAAAAAAAAACCTACATGAAAATAAACTATTTTAAAGAATAAAATTGAAATGGAATATTATTATTATTATTTTGGTAATAATTGAAATAAAATAATAGTAAAAAAGTCATTAATTAAAAGGAGTATAAAATGAAATTTAAAAGAAAAAAAAAATCTACTTAAATAGCAGTCTGGGACATGGAGGCTTCAGGTTGAAGACTGAAACTGAAGGGAAAACTCGCTTCGAGCAGACGCCCTAAAGAATGGAAGATTTTGATAAGAAGCTCTCTCTCGCTGAGCAAATGGAGGAAGACGGAAGAACCTCTGGCGATTCTAGCGGTTCCTCCAACACTCTCACTTTGCTCCGCAAGTTTCTTGAAATCCAGCAGCGTAGAGCAGAAGCTTATGCCAGGCTTAAGAGGTATCATTGATTTGATTTTCGTTTGAAATCTCGATCATTATTTTGGATAATCGATGACGAATTGATGACTTGAGTAATGTGTATGCGTATTTCTGTTATAGTTCTTGTCCTAGAACGCGATGTCGATGCATTTTCTTTCCTGTTGATTCCATATGGATCGATCATTGGAAAATCTATCTCAAAGAATTTTTGTTAGATCTAAATTAACTTAATGACAAAGTTTCGAGCGTGTTGCTGCTACTTATTTAAACAAGGCGGATTGAATTTTGCAAGTCTTCATTATTCTGTTGACTCGCAGGGGTTTCGATGAGTATATGACTTCAGGAAGGGAGATATCTTACCAACAGCTTTGCGGTGAGATCACTGCAGAATTCAGTAATTGCTCCAAACAAGTTCGTTTTGCAATTTCATAGCATTTCAGTTAGGCGTAGTCTTCTTTGAGCTTCCTTTTGAGGTTTTACTTTTTGGACTATGGACTCTCTCTTGTTGTAGGTCATTGACATTGAGTCGAACTTCTGTAGTCCAGATCATGACAGGATCGAGTTAGCCAGCCTGCTTAGATCTGTTCAAGAACAAGAAAAGCAGAAATTGCATCTGGTATGCCACCTCCAAGAAATTCTCTAGAATGCTTTGGTTATATTTTTTAAGCACCTTTTCCTTCTCTGCACTGAATAGGTTTGACGAGTAGTATTATTCCAAACCTGAAAATATATGACGTGCTTCACAGAATTCCAATTGGTCAGTTAAACTTGTAATTATAAATTTTGTAGGATCAAACAGTATATGCTTTGGAAAATTGTAATTATAAATTTTGTAGGATCAATCAGTATTTGCTTTTGAAAATAAGTCTTAAGTTTTTATCACAATGAGACAAGCCTCAAGGCGTAATAATTAAAAGACTTTTGAAACATTGTTCAGATTAGAGACATGGTCTATGGATAAATCTGGATCATGTAAAGAATTCTTACCTTCTCTTGATTCTAGAAAATTAAAGAAAGATGGCCATTTGTTTCACATATTCCTTCTAGGACTGCTACTGGCTACTAATATGACAAGCAGACCGTAGATTTTTTTAGAGAGCCTTCCATGGTTGCTACATGTAAAGTCACAAGGTTGTAACGGCCCAAGCCCATTGTTAGCAGATATTGTCCTCTTTGGGCTTTCCCTTTCGGGTTTCCTCTCAAGGTTTTTAAAACACGTATGCTAGGGAGAGGTTTCCACACTCTTATAAAGAATATTTCGTTCTCCTCTCCAACCGGTGTGGGATCTGATAGTATTTCACTATTTGTGTCTTATTGTTGATTCCTTTAGATGTGGTGCACTTTGTCTTACAACAAGGCTACTCCACCTTTGAAATTCCTTCTCAAGTTGTCTTAAAAGCTGATTAAACATCGAATGAGTAGCAGGCAATAATGTGTAGAGTGATTTCCTTTCTTGGATTAACTTTTAGAAATGCAATTCATTGAAATAAACACCAAAGTCAGCTCCATGTAGTTCAGATTCTCTTCTCTCAACCACTGCCCTTACTCCATCTCCTAAACATTACATTATTCTGGCTAGAATTCCTTTTATGATAAATAAAAAAAAGGTCACTGGAAAATTGTCTATCAAAATAGAGTTGAAGGAAAACTGTAATGTCCTTGAAAGATCTTAAATAAACATCTCTCACATCTAAGTTTCCCTTTCATTCTTCTTTCACCATTAAACTACTGAGCTCGATGATGTAAGTATTCAATCACCTGCACAAGGTCCTCAAGTAGTGATACATAGCTTATCCTTCAATGCTTTACATAGTTGTTTCATGCCATTTCCAGTGCTAAAAAACAGTACCAGAAGTTTGCTGATCATCTATTAGTTAATTAATTTGAAAGCTGAGAATGCATACAAATAAGCAAACGATGAGATAAGACACATCACCGCGTGTTTGTGTTGCGGGTGGGTTTTCTTGGACATTGAATGTGTACTTTTGCTAGATAGGAACCTCATCGTATAAAGTTCAAGAGTTGAGAGTTCCTGCCTTCATCTTTTCCTAACAATTATTCCTCTTTATAGACAGCTCAAATTCAGTTATTGAAGAAGGCTGGTCGCCCATCGGAGCGCTTGGTGAGCCACGAGAATTGCAGATTCAAGACACCTCGAGAGCACGAGTGTGTACATGTCCACGAGATAACTGAAGCTTCAGGTACCGAGGAAGCAGAAGCAGATGCCGAATATGACAATGCTCTCAAGGAAGCAATCAAAGGTGTGCAAGAGGCTGTGACGACCATTAATGAGCACATGGAGGAAGTGAGATATGAGATTGCAGCTCTTGAAGATAAGTAATCTTGTGACATATGTATATGTTAATTGGTAATATCTTGCTCTGCAATTGAATTGGTTATTGAAATGTGCCTGTAAAGATACACAGAGTTGGTTCTTTACTAACGTGCATTCGCTCAACGTAGGGATAAAGCAAAAAGTTTACATCTTCGTGTTTGCCATCTTTTACGAGATATATCAACTGAATTCTCAATTTTTTGCCCCAATTTTGATGTCTCCTTTAGATTGGAAATAAAGCCGGGACAGGTAATAGACGTGGGAGAAGGTGAAAGGGTATGGTTCAAGCCTCGGGAGAGATTAATAGAACGAATCGCATGTTTACTACTAAACTATATTCGCTACAATGCAATTATTGTATATAAATTGACATTTTGTCGAAGACAAAAATAAGTCTGGTAGTAACAAAAAATAAAAAGAAAAGAATCATGACTTATTGTCATCCAATTTGGCTCATGGGCAGTAATTAATCAAAATTAATTTATTGGTATTTAAATAGCATTTTGATTTTTAGTAATTAAAGATATGTTTCAAAATCATTTTGAATAAGATAAAAGTGATTTTAATCAAATTAACAAAATTCATTCAAAGCTTGCCCAAATGATGTACATACCCTTATACATAATATTATTAAAATTTCAGAGAAAAATTAGAAATACTTAAATTTAAAAAGAAAAAATTAATATTTTTAATGTCTTATTTAATCCAAAAGGAGTTGAAAGAATTTTGATTTAAGGTAAAATTGCTCAATTATTTCCATTGAACATGACCTTCCAACTCAACCAAATTTACTAACCAGTTCGAGTTGATTCAGTTCGGTTCTTCAATTTGGTTCAATTGTCCACATTTCGTCCCAACAATCCAATGTCGTCGACTTTGAATGGGCACGGCCAGATCACACCTAAGATCCAGCCATGACAATTGGCCAATTTCAATTTAGCTCAATTCTATGGAATATATACCAGCAGCTTAACCAATCCAATACATTACAATACAATAAAATTATCACATAGAAAGTATAAACTTATACCTTATTGACGACATTCAGATAATAGAAGCATAATAAGAGGAAGTTGCAGAAGAGCTTACACCGCAGAGTAGTATACTTCCCGACTCTATTCGGTTTCTGAAAACAAGTCGATCGAACAACAGGCTTTCACTTGCCTTCTCCATATTCCTATCATTCATAATAATATCGCACTGCTTCTTCATGCTTACAACCCTCGATTTATTACCATCTTTCTCGCACTTCTGAAT